CCCTGATCCAATACGGCGTCCGGCCGCCTCAGTCGGAAGTGTCTGTCATCGCCTTAGTTACCGGGAAGCGAGAACGATGACGTGAGGCACGGGAAGAAGGAACATCGCCTCGCGGAGGAAAGCTTTAGCTGGCCGGAAGACGACGTCAGCGCGCGGGAAGGGGCGGCGGGGGTTGGGGGGGTGGGGTGGGGGGGGTGGGGTCGGAAAACAGCGTGTGGACGCATGCACAAGATTCATTGTAAGTTCCATAGGTGTAGTAAGGCTTCTTGACGTTACAGGGTTTCCTCCTCTTTCTCGCTGTGGGGTTCGCGCTCTCTGTGGACACCGGCGCTAGTGCATAGTTTCTTTCTGCGTGTCTATCCCTGTCCTCCTTCTATGAGAGGGTGACTAATTGAGAACTGTCATATTCAAGCACTTTAGGAGACTATTAAAACTCGTAACAACATATTAACAACATCGTACGACCATCACAACCGATTTACACCTTATTAGTGGTAAAAATGAGCACGTTTAATTAATCTGATGCAGAGATACAGCCTCTCCATAACATATAGAAATAAGAATCAAAACTATGTAAACTTAAAATTATGCTTAGAACGTATCTAGTCATCGAAGAATTACTAATAATTAGCTCGATTTAATATTAGTACAAAGTTTTAAGTTACTTAGAGATCATAGAAATTAGTTTTAAGTAGATGTACTATGAAATGTAATTACTGTTAATGTAAAAAGTTTGTCGAATAACGATTCAGTTTTGTTGAACAAATTTACATTTTTTCATGTTCCTAAAACTATGTAAGAGTAATGTTATTTGATAATAAACTGGTATAAGTTTAGGAAGTTCGAATTATTCTCTTACTCAGGAAACAAACAACTAAAATAAAATACACATTTGTATTAGACTTTACACTGAGAAAAGACATAGCTGTCTTTTTTTCACCAAACGTTAAAAGCATACCGTTTGCCAAAGATTTGCTTTAATTATTTGAACCTGGATTCTTTCTGTACTAGAAATTTCTGTAAGAAGGATTTTTTTAAAAATCAGCACATTTAAAATTTTAGAAGTTTAATTTCCCTGTTTTCTGGAAATTTTGGAAATATTTTATTTCTATAAGTGTATATTTATCTTCATAAGCCAATCAGAACAGAGCTCTTTTAAGAGATGTAATAATCTAATTTACTAAAACTCTCCAAAGGTAGTAAAATATTTTAGACTCTCACAACAAAAGGTGAAGTTTTTTCTCAATTACAGCTGTGAAGACACAGAGACACAGAGAGCAGATAGCTTGGTTCTACAACTTCAGCCACGAGTCAAAAGTGAACACAGAAACAGAAATTTACTAGATCAGCTAACAAAGAGTGTTCCCCTCCCTGGTGGGCATGGAAGTCTTAACTGATTTGAACTCATAGTAGACAAAAAGGCAAACAAAAAAGACTAACCAACCAGATTGTCTGTTATCTCTTACCCAAGAGAGAATATATCTTTATAAATTATTAATTTACATAAAGAGACCAACAAATGGTTAGTATATAAAACCAAATTTCTAATCATTGCTGCCACCACTGGGGAAAAATTTATCAGCTGTAAATGTATCAGAAACAAAAACACAAAATCAGTAAAGAGAAGAAAAGAAACCTAGAGAAACAGAGTCAGCAACATTGTACTATTGCCACTTGGATGTTCACTGTTTTCTTTGGGATCCAAGAGGAAAACATGCTTGGACTTAAGCGGCCCGTGAGGTGTTCTTCAGCAAAACGGTTTACCTGGTTTTGTCAGGTGAATCCATTGGGATGTTGGTGAAACCTCCAAAATTGTTTAAAAAAGTTTCAAATAGGTAAAATTATGGCTCTCACACAAATATAAAATGAGCATGTGTCAGAGATTCTATATAACTCTTTCTTTAATGAGGGGACCAGTAAGGATGTTCAAAACAGCTCAAAGAAGAATTTGATTTTATAGAGACATACTCTCTACCACAAAAATTAGTTTGCATTGCTGTGGACAGGAATCATCGGCATTGTTATGGGTAGGACACATTTGCATTACTGATAGTTTTCTGTAAGTTAATTTCTATCTCTACAGAGTTTTGAAATAGCTTAGTCAAAGACAAAGGCACATGCTGCTTGCAATTAGGTGACCCCACAGGGTCCTTTAAAAAATGCCCAGCGTTCCAGGGAAAGTTCACCCAGTAATCTCTTTTGACTATTTCAAAATCTTTCACAATTTTCCAGACATAGTTTTCAATGACCAATAATCTAATATAATCATATATTCAACAACCTGCTGGATATCTCTGGGTATTCTTGGGCACCTCAATCTTGATACGTCCTAAACTTACATTTTCCCTCAAGGGGAAAATGAATTCTTTCTGCCTTTGGTACTATCTATTTCACTGGGAGATACCATTCTCCTTCCAGTTACTCAGCCTAGAAACTAGAGTTATCCTTGGCCCCTCCTTATCTTTCATGGGGTTCAGGACATGATTCCCCGAAGTATGGCACCTAGGCATATTGAATATTTAAGCTAAAGGAATTTGAGAAATGGTAGATGCAAGGAAAGACTCTCTGACCTCCCCTTTCTCCCCTGAAGCAGATCATAAGAGCTTCATGTAAGAGGTCTCCTCCCTTTGCCAGGAGGAAAGCAGCATCCTGAAGATGGAGGGATGCTGAGAGGAAGCAGAATGCACAGGCCTTGCTAAGTTTCTCCCAGTTTACTACCCTTAGCTCATATCCTTTTGTCCTATCTTGTTTGCCCACAACTTTCCACTCTTCATTAAACCTAGCATAAAAACAGTCAGGTTCAACTGCTTCTTCACATCTTCATTTCTTTTTTTGAGGCTCCCAGGTCATGTAAAACTTATATCACATAAATTTGTATGCTTTTCTCTTGTTAATCTGTCTTTTGCTACAGAGCCCCAGCCAAGAACCCAGAAGGGTGGAAGGAAGAGACTTTTTTCATACATCTCTAACCCCCCAACCCCCGAAACTGACAATGAATCACTTGGTCCTGTTGGCTTCTTATTCTAAATATTTCTCAATTCCATCTACCTGCTTAGTTCAGGCCCTCATCCTCTCTCATTGGATTACTCAACAGCATTCCAAATGATCTCTTTGCCAGAATTTTGCCAAACCCAAATCTCACATTGGTTGCCAGATTGATTTTTTCAAAATCGCTCATCTGACCCTGACATTCTCATGTTTCAAACTCTACATAGTTTCCCCATTATCACAGGATAAAGCAGAGGCCCTTACTGTGGTACCTGAGGGCCTCCATCATCTACATACCCCAGTCCTACAGCATGGGACCAATTGTCTTTCGCGCTGCCCATGTGCATTGTCTTGCCTCTGTGCCCTTTCGCATGCTTTCCTCTCTGCTAAGAACAACCTGTTCACCTCCTTTCCTGATTAACTTCCATGTGTCCCACAAGACTCCAGAAAAGCTTTCCTTTTATTTCCCTTTCTTCTCAGGAGAATTAAAAAAACAATAAGTGAAATAAATGGAAAAGTAACCACAGAAGTGGAGAGAATGCTTGGACAGTGAGCTTGAAGCAGATACAAACTGCCTTAAGAGATCCTGACCTGAAAAGAAAAGTCCAGGCAGAGGAAGATAATTCAGAAAGAGGGCCTTAGCGGAGGGTGGCTGAATCCATTAGCAGGACTAAAACTTCCTTGGCAAGTTCTTGAGAACAGCTCTTTCAATATTAGCAAATGATGTACCAGATATAAACGTGCATTTTCAGATTTTTTTTAATTCATAAAAATCTTGTTCTGAAATCAAGCTATTTCTTCTCTGATAATGACGTGCTCAGAAAAAACAAGAGATAAAAAAGTAGGAAAAAAACCCAAGGTGGATTTATGTGTAATTAGATAACCTCTGCAATTATTATTGACATAATCTGAGAAGGGTGAGAATTGAGGCCATTGCCTTTTCTTTTCTCCTTCTCAAAGGAAGAGCTAAGCACTCCATGAGAGAGAAGAAAGGCAAATCTTAAGGAAGGATAGATCCGTTTTCAGCCCACAGTTCCTGTTAAGGGAGTGTCATTGTTTCTTGAATGAAAAACCACTAGGGAAACACCCACTCAACTACAGGAATGCCTCTGCTTGTTTTCATTCATTTTTTAATTTTAAACAGCTATATTGAGGTATAATTGACATTCAATAAGCTGCACATATTTGAAGTGTAGAATTGTTAAGTTTTGACACCCATTACCACAAAATAATGAACTTTTATATCACCCCATAGTGTTTCCTTGTGCCCCTTGTATTTTCTAGAGTTTTATACAAATGGAATCATATGGTATATACTCTTTTTTTGTCTGGCATCCTTTCACTCAGCATAATTATTCTGAGATTCATCCATGGTGTTGTGTGTATCAGAAGTTCTTTCTTTCTGAAGTGAATGAGTTTACATTTAAAATTCACTAGCATCGACGTTTTTAAGAAAATGTACAGAGTATAATGTTCAAGAGTAAAGAGTATGTCTTGCTCTTCTTAAAGAGGGTGGTGGTGGGCAGTGTAACCATTGATTACTGACTTGTGCCTGTCCAAAAAACGAAATGCCTAAGAGTGTTTCTCAACGTCGGCTGCTAATACACGCCTGATGTTCACAGTAAGTCCATGGGAAAGGCAAAGAATAAGAAGCACTTTCCTGTTCATTTCTATTTATAATCACATATGCACACTTCTGCCCACCTCAATTCAATCAGGTTTGGATATATCCGTAAGGTACGACCAGTTCCTAAAATTTCAGGACTGCCATTCATAATAGGTTAACCATTTCTTTGGTACCTCAGTTTTCCCAGTCTCTAAATTGGCTTAAGTATGAATGTTCTTCATGTGCCCTACACCAACAGTGATACCTTTCATAATGACAGCATTTTTAAAGCAATGAAAATTAACAACCAAAGCTGACATTGACTATTCTACTAAGAACTGTTTTGAAACCAGAAAGAAAAATAATATGTATTTAAGGAGTTCTCAACTAATAAATAGTTTGTGTTCTGCATGTTTGGAACTAAAAACATACTTTCCTATAGAAATATCAGTAATTTTAGGAAAGACATACATTCTGGGCATGTCACAGTCTATCCTACCCTAAATAAGGGGTGGAAAATGGGAGCACTAGTAAGAGGCAAGTAAAAGCTGATTTACATTTGGGGGAAACTCGCAAGGTTTGTTTTTGGCTGCCCTAGGCTGTAAGGAAGGCCAAAGAGTAAAGGAATTGCCCTATTGGCGCCCTAGAACTACACTTCCCAGAATGCCACAGTGCAGGCTTCCCTGCGATTTCGGTCTTGGACTTTGAGCACTGCAGGACTTGGTGCTGAGGGACACTGGCACGTGTGCACTCATGGCTTCTAGCAAGGCAGTGATTGTTCCCGGGAACGGAGGCGGGGATGTGGCCACCCACGGCTGGTACGGCTGGGTGAAGAAGGAGCTGGAGCAGGTAAGAGACACGTCTCGCTGTGCTGGGAAGTCTGCCGGGAGCTGGAGGGGATGGAGGGGACGGAGGACCGAAGTTTGAACGGGTGTCTTCCCCCTACCCACCTTCAGCAAACCCTGCGTGTTTTCATTCCTCTCCCCTGCTGCCCTGTCTTAAACTAGCGGTCAGAATTTGGGTTGGTTAAACCGCGTGGAGGGCTTCTCTGCGGGCTCAGTCACTAGAGTACAAGGCACCACCTCTTAGAACTGCCGAGACTGAGCCCCCTCACCCTCCCTGTATCTGCCGCCGGTTCAGATTTGGGACTTCCCAGCTAATTTTACATCTGTCTTCTTTGCTCTCTGCCTCAAATTAAACAACAAAAAAATCAGTGTGTAATATTAGTATATACAAAGGATATATATAACACATATGTAAATTATGAAGCATAACGTAATGAATACCTGCAAATCCATCACCAAACTAAAATCTAGAACATTACCAATATTTTTGAAGCCACCTGTATATATCCCCCATCTCATTTCCCTGACATCCTGAAATTTTTTTCATTTGCTCCCCCTTTTAAAATTAAAGTACTTTTGCAAACTTTGTATGTATCCTTTAAACAATATGTTTGATTTGGCTTCTTTGTGAGCGTTATAAAAATAGTATCCTGCTGTTGGTTGTCTTGTGCATCTTGATTTTTTTTTTAACCTTCTTCCATAACCAGACAGTAAGACTGCTTCCTGGGTTGCCATCCTCTAGAGCTAGTGTAAAGTAGGTTTCTAGAACAAAATTCCAGGATTGTGGCTGAAAACCATGGCCAGAGCTGCAAACCAAAAGGTCAGGGCTGGAGCTGTCCAAGAGTGGGGGATTTCCAACTTTCTGTACCACATGTCAGTACCATGTTTTACCCTCTCCCCAGCACACAGTCTGTTTGGCTCCAGGTCTGTCTAGAATGCTTTCACTCATGCCCTCTTCTATATGTAGATGGCTACACTGATAAATACGGATGCACAAATGCACATACAGGTCTCTCTCTATAGACATCCACACAGCTGGCTAGCTAGTAGAACTACAGACAGATGGAGTTCATGAGGAAGGATTGTATATTCATATGTAATCCTGTAGCGCTTAACTCACTTCTTTTCATAATATAAGCAAATACTTAATGAATTGCTAAAGATCATATCAGGTGTCTCATTTCTTATTAGCAAAGTATTAGTTGTAATTAAGCTCTTTATTATAACTTTTTTTCCCCCTCATATCATAGATACCTGGTTTCCAGTGTTTGGCTAAAAACATGCCTGACCCAAGTAAGTTTAAATGTGTTTTTAAATAGTCTCATCTTGTTGGGTTTTGATCTTGCCATTTTCCTGGTAGAGAAGAGGAAAATCATAGTAGAGAAGCCAAAGGGAATACAGTATGGACCTAAGAGTGAATGGCAAGTAGTTTGAGGAGGAGAGTGTAAACCAAAAAACATTATAGAAAATTCTAGAAAAGGTCAAGAAAAGCACCTGGGCTTGGCTAAGTTTAATTTTTAACTTTGCAAGCAACTTGATTTTCCCTTCTATAAGTTGACAAATATTTTCAGGCAAAACTTATGTGTGTTTCATTTAAGCAGAGATATGATGAAACTTTATGGCATCTGTATGAGATCCTAATATTTAAAAATGTTACATTGCCACTTCTGTTTTGAGTATGCCTGTGACTTGTCTCGGGAATTTCAGTTTTGGAAAGAAAAAATACATATGTTCGTGAATTTGAGATAGAATATCGTCGTTTTCTTTTTAAGTGGGAAAGTTTATGTTAAATCTTCAGAGTTATATTTTATAAGTTCCTCAGTATTTTCTTACAAGAACATGCTAAAAAATAAAAACAAAACTATGGATATGAGTCTTTCAAAACAGCAACACATAAACCTTTGGCTCTATTAAAATAGCCCCACCTCCCATTGTGGTCCTGCAGTTTTAGAAGTTGTGAACTGCTGAGTAGTCATGTTAGAAAGACGGGGCAGCATTAGATTAAGACTGTCCCTATGAAATGACACTCTTTCTTCACCCTGAACCTCAGTTACAGCTCGAGAGAGTATCTGGCTGCCCTTCATGGAGACGCAGCTGCACTGTGATGAGAAGACCATCATCATAGGCCACAGTTCCGGGGCCATCGCAGCCATGAGGTGCGATCCTAGCTCAAGTGTCACCTTTCTGTGGGCTCCAGCCAAGCTCGCTTGGGAAATAGCTTGTGTATGTCTTAATTTCAGCTGCAGAGGAAATAGTGCTGACCTCAAAAGTGGTAACATAATCTGTCCTAATTCCCTCCTGGTTTGGTTAGTAGATTAAAAAATTTTTTTGCTCTTACTAGGATATGGTGATTCTTTTAAAACATGTGGTTTTAAACCTCAGCAGCGGCTTCCTGTCACTCTCAGAAAAACTCCTCAGCCTTCAAGGCCCCCACTAGCTGTAATGTCCTCTCTACTGTCTCCCTTTCACAGCCCCCAGCCTGGTTCACAGACCTCATTGCCTTTCCTTAACAAGCCAGGCACGTGCCCACCTTAGGCCTGTGCTGCCATTGTTCTACCTGGGACCCTCTGTCCCTAGATGCCTGCATGGCTTTCTCCTCCTCTTTCAGTCTCTGCTCAAATGTCCCCTTTCAGCGAGGCCTTCTGTGATTACTCTGTATGAAACAGCAACCTCACCCCACACCCTCCTATCCCCTTTATATCTTATTATCCCCCTTATTATGTGTAGCACTTCCACCATCTGACATCCTGTTTATTGCTTGTCTGTCTCCTGCCAATAGAATGCAAGCCTCCTGAGGGTGGGACTTTGCTCACTCTGACACTGAAGCTCCAGTGTCTAGAAGAGTGTCTGGCATATGGTAGGTGCTCAATAAATACTTGTTGGAGAGGCAGGCTGTTATGCCCTCCCTCCTGCCCTCTGGTCCTTAGGATTCATGGGCACATCCTGATGCTCTCTATAGAACATTATGGCTTTCCCTTTAGGCTTATAAGACCTAGGGAGTAGGGACTTAGCTGGCCGAATAAGCCTTTTAGGGTTGGGTTTCTTCCAGATTTGCTAGGCTGGATGACAAAGGATTATAGTTTTTATTTGTGTAGCTTATTGTCCCAAGCAGTTGCTTAGGCTGTCACATAAACTGCATGTCAGAGACTCTAGCCACATTCCGTAACCTTTCAGCCACATTAATCGAAGCTATGAGAATAATAATGCTTTCCAATGTAGAGCTCCCAAATTATGGTACAGTCATAGTGTTTAAAAGGTACCAGGCGTTGTCTGGGAAAACGAAGAAATCCCTTTATGACAAAATCTGTACCAACTCAAGGCCAACTGAATTTTTCTCAGGCTATTGGCTAATAAGATGTGCTGCCTTTTTTTTTCCCTGCTTTTTCTCCCCAAGTCCCCTCAGTACATAGTTGTATATTTTAGTTGTGGGTCCTTCTAGTTGTAGCATGTGGGATGCCGCCTCAGTGTTGCCTTTCAAACGGTGCCATGTCCACACCTAGGATCTGAACCAGCGAAACCCTGGGCCGCCGAAGAAGAGCGTGTGAACTTAACCACTCGGCCACAGAGCCGGCCCCAAGATGTGCCTTCTTTTAGAGACCCCTGAAACTTATTGCAGGATTGTCAGCAACTTTCTAAGAATTAACTTCTAAAGCTAAGGTAGACAAAGAGAAAGATGCCATAACCATGGGTTGTAAGATTGTAGGGGAATGGGATAGTGACACAGTCACAGAGGACCACCCACAGCCTACTTATTAATCACCAGGGGAAATCGTGTCTTTACAATAGAGGGAGCTGATGGATATCACATTAAGTAATCAAACTTAATCTCATCAGTAGTGGGACAACTGGCATGGTGAGCCTCTGATGTGATAGAGTGGGAAGGACACACATGACCTATGTAGTATTCTTGCCCAAAATGTTTAACCTCAGTCTAATCTTGAGGAAACATTCAGTTTAGGGGATAATGTACAAGACAACTGGCCTAAACTTAAAAAAAAAAGTCAATGTCATTTAAAACAAAACACTTTAGAGTGTTTAAAGAGTCATGAAAACCAAATGCAATGCATGAGCTTTGACTGGGTCTAGTATTGAAAAGCATTTTTTTTTGAGTAAGATTAGCCCTGAGCTGACATGCACTGCCAATCCTCCTCTTTTTGCTGAGGAAGACTGGCCCTGAGCTAACATCCGTGCCCATCTTCCTCTACTTTATATGTGGGACACCCACCACAGCATGGTGTACCAAGCGATGCCATGTCCACACCGGGATCTGAACTGGCGAACCGCGGGCTGCCAAAGCAGAATGTGTGAACTTAAATGCTGTGCCACCAGGCCGGCCCAAAAAGCAGTTTTAAAGAATATTTTTGGTACCATTGGGGAAAAATGAATACAGATATTACTCTGAATGTTAAATTTGTTAGGTGTAATAAGGGCACTGTGGTTATATAGAGAACGAATGCCTTCTTCTTAGGGGATACATGCTGAAGTATTTAGGGGTGAAATGCAGCAAAATTAATGGATCTAGGTGCTTGTTGTTCTAACTTTTCTATAGATTTGAAATTTTTCAAAACAAAAGGTTGAGGAAAAATGTTTAGGCCCAGGAACAAAATACCAACCCTAAATCTTTCCTGGCACAAAGGCCTCTTGAAACTATTACCATTCCACATCTTTCCTCAGCCTGGGCTTTGCAGAGTAAGAGACCTGTCTGCAAATAGTGAGTGTCTACTTGCCGGGCGCTGTCGTGGGCACCAGGGTCACAAAGATCGAGAGGGCTCAGACCTGCCCTTAAGGAGCTGACAGTTTATTAGGGGAGACAGATATAATAGAACACAAACAGATAAAAAGCGCAATGTGGAGTGTGTGGTAAAAGAGGTACATTTCTGGTATGGTACAGTGTTTCTTAAAAAATGGTCCACAGACCACTCGTGTTAGTCACCTGGGTTGGGGGAGGTAACGTGCCTTAACATGCAGATTCCTGGGCCTCAATCCCAACCCTCTGAATCAACTGCTCTGGGACTGAGCCTGAGAATCTACATGTTGACCAGTCAAGTAATGCTGATACATACTGAAGATAGATTAATGCACACATCAAAGAGAATGTTTACACTTTTTTTTTTTTGGTGAGGAAGATTGGCCCTGAGCTAACATCTGTTGCCAATCTCCCTCTTTTTTGTTTTGCTTGAGGAAGATTGTTGATGAGCTAACATCTGTGCCAGTCTTCCTGTATTTTGTATGTGGGATGCCACCACAGCATGGCTTGATGAGTGGTATGTAGGTCTGTGCCCAGGATCTGAACCTGCGAACCCCAGGCTGCTGAAGTGGAGTGCATGAACTTAACCACTACATCACCATGCCTGCCCCTGTTTACACTTTTCATGTTTATTTGGAAAGGATTACAGAAGGTTTGGACTACAGTAGTCCCCCTTATCCTCAGGAGATATGTTCCAAGCCCCCCAGTGGATGCGTGAAACCCCAGATAGTACCAAACCCTAGATATACTATGTTTTGTTCTATACATACATATTTGAGGTGTGACAGCAACACTAGCACGAATTTCTTTTGCCTTCTTCACAATTTCACAGATAGAAGATTCACTCTTACCATAGATCTTAGCAACCTCAGCATATGATTTCTTTTTCTTTCTTCATTAAGTTGAGAACTTTCACCTTTTCACTTACAGGAAGCACTTTACGGCTTCTCTCTGGCATATCCGAATTGCCAGCATTACCACTCTTGCACTTTGGGGCCATTATTAAGTAAAGTAAGGGTTATGTGAACACAATCACTGCAGTACTGAGACAGTCAATATGACAACCAAGATGGCTACTAAGTAACCAATGGGCAGGTAATGTATACAGCATGGATACGCTGGACAAAGCAATGATTCACGTCTCAAGTGGGACAGAGCGGGATGGCATGAGATTTCACCGTGCTACTCAGAACAGCGCACAATTTAAAACTTATGAATTGTTTACTTCTGGAATTTTTCATTTAATATTTTTGGACCATGGTTGATTGCTGGTAACTGAAACCATGGAAAGTGAAACCATGGATAAGGGGGGACTATCGTGCCTTAAAAAATGAGTACAAACTCATTAAGTAGCCAAGGTTAACTGATTAACCATTGGGCTTGTAGTTCTACACTTTCATTGCTATTTTTCATATTAACTTCAACAGCATATATAACACACGCTTTCTGTAAGCTAAATCAAACGAGTGTTCAGGTGGTTTATTGACTTTTTGATGATCAGATTTAACATTAAATATTAGCTGACATACTTTCTCTCTCTCTAGGTATGCAGAAACACATCGAGTATATGCTATTGTATTAGTGTCTGCATACACATCAGACTTGGGGGATGAAAATGAGCGTGCAAGTGGTAAGTTTAAAAGCAGAAACCCCAGAAAAGCCCTTCCTCTAGTCATGGGGTTGCTAGTTCAGATTATAACAGTACTGTCTTTTGGATAGGCTAAAAAAAAATCTAATGGCATATGAGGAATATTTACCACCCATCTTTGGATATAAGTTAGGCACTTTCAGGGGCGGTAGATGACTTTCTAATCCATCGTCTAGAATTGAACCTTAGAGCCCTGCTTTTATTTGAGCCATATACTTCCCCTTCACAAGTACCTATGATCTCAAGGCCTACAGATTTGAAAACTAAAAAAGGGCATCTAACTTACACTCAGGATCTGATTCTTTATGTCTCTGCTATGGTCTTCACCAGATACTTTAGAATGGCTACAACAGAAATTATCCAAGAGCAATGATAGGTTCTATTGTTTTCCCCCATAGGATACTTCAACCGTCCCTGGCAGTGGGAGAAGATCAAAGCCAACTGCTCTCACATTGTGCAGTTTGGCTCCACTGATGATCCTTTCCTTCCCTGGAAGGAGCAACAAGAAGTGGCTGATAGGTTGGAAGCCAAATTGTACAGATTCACTGACCGTGGCCACTTTCAGAACACAGAGTTTCATGAACTGATTAGTGTGGTAAAGGCTCTGCTGAAAGTACCAGCATAGTCAGGAGGATTTCTGCTATTTTACATCCCAATGTAGGGGTAGAGCAACAAAATCTATTATCATATCATTACTGGGCACATAAGCAGGTCAAGTTAAGTTCCATCTCCCACCCCCCTTCCCTTGGTGAGCACTGAACTGTTCTCTTTGTCCATGTGTTTGTTCATATTCCACATATGAGTGAAATCATCTGGTGTTTGTCTTTCTCAGTCTGGCTTATTTAGCTAAGCATAATTCCCTCCAGGTCCTTCCATGTTGTTGCAAATGGGATGAATTAGTCTTTTTTTAATGGCTGAGTAGTATTCCATTGTATATATACCACATCTTCTTTATCCAATCATTGGTTGATGGGCACTTGGATTGTTTGCATGCCTTGGCTGTAGTGAATGGTGCTGCAATGAACATAGGGGAGTATATGTCACTTTGGATTGTTGATTTCAAGTTGTTTGGGTAGATACCCAGTAGTGGGATAGCTGGGTCCTATGGTATTTCTAGTTTTAGGTTTTGAGGAATCTCCGTACTGTTTTCCATAGTGGCTGCACCAGTTTGCATTCCCACCAGCAGCGTATGAGGGTTTCCTTCTCTCCACACCCTCTCCAACATTTGCTATTTTTAGTCTTAGTGATTATAGCAATTTTAACAGGTGTAAGGTGGTATCTTAGTGTAGTTTTGATTTGCTTTTCCCTGATAATTAGTGATGTTGAACATCTTTTCATGTGTTTATTGGCCATCTGTGTATCTTCTTTGGAGAAATGTCTGTTCATATCCTCTGCCTGTTTTTTGATCGGGCTGTTACTTTTTTTGTTATTCAGTTGTGTGAGTTCCTTATGTATTATGGAGATTTACCCCTTGTCAGATATATGATTTGCAAATATTTTCTTCCAATTGGTGGGTTGTCTCTTTGGTTTGATTCTAGTTTCTTTTGCCTTGCAGAAGCTCTTTAGTCTGATGAACTCCCACTTGTTTATTTTTTCTTGTTTCCCTTGTCTGAGAAGACATGGTGTTGCAAAAGATCCTTTTTATTTTGATGTCAAGGAGTGTACTATGTATATTATCTTCCAGGAGTTTTATGGTTTCAGGACTTATCTTCAAGTCTTTGATCCATTTTGAGTTTATTTTTGTGTATGGCATGAGGTAATGGTCTATCTTCATTCTTTTGCATGTGGCTGTCCAGTTTTCCCAACACCATTTATTGAAGAGACTATCTTTTCTCCATTATATGTTCTTGGCACTTTTGTCAAAAATTAGCTGTCCGTAGATGTGCAGTCTTATTTCTGGGCTTTCAGTTCTGTTTCATTGATCTGTGTGCCTGTTTTTGTACCAGTACCATGCCGTTTTGATCACTATGGCTTTGTAGTACATTTTGAAGTCAGGGATTGTGATGCCTCCAGCTTTGTTCTTTTTGCTCAGGATTGCCTTAGCAATTTGGGGTCTTTGGTTGCCCCATATGAATTTTAGGATTCTTTGTTCTATTTCCATGAAGAATGTCATTGGGATTCTGATTGGGATTGCATTGAATCTGTAGATAGCTTTGGGTGGTATGGACATTTTAACTATGTTTATTCTTCCAATCCATGTGCATGGAATCTCTTTCCATCTCTTTATGTCATTATCAATTTTTTTCAGTAATGTCTTATAGTTTCCATTGTGTAAGTCCTTCACCTTCTTGGTTAAATTTGTTCCTAGTTACTTTATTCTTTTAGTTGCAATTGTAAATGGAATTGTATTCTTGAGTTCTCTTCTGTAAGTTCGTTATTATAGAAAAGAAACTGATTTTTGTAAGTTGATTTTGTACCCTGCAACTTTAATGTAGTTGTAAATTATTTCTATTAGTTTTCTGATGGATTCTTTGGGGTTTTCTATATATAAGATCATGTCATCTGCAAACAGCAAGAGTTTCACCTCTTCACTCCCTATTTGGATTCCTTTTATTCCTTTCTCTTGCCTAATTGCTCTGGCCAAATCCCCCTCTACTATGTTGAATAAGACTGGTTATAGTGGGCATCCTCATCTCGTTCCTTTTCTCAGATGGATGGCGTTCAGTTTTTGCCCATTAAGTATGATGTTGGCTGTGGGCTTGCATATGGCCTTTATTTTGTTGGAGTAATTTCCTTCTATCCCTATTTTGTTAAGAGTTTTTATCATAAATGGCTGTTGGATCTTGTCAAATGCTTTCTCTGCATCTACTGAGGTGATCATGTGGTTTTTATTCCTCAATTTGTTGATGTGGTGTATCACATTGATTGATTTGCAGATGTTGAACCATCCCTGTGTCCCTAGTATAAATCCCACTTGATCATGATGGATGATCCTTTTGAGGTATTGCTGAATTCAGGTTGCCAAAATTTTCTTGAGGATTTTTGCATCTATGTTCATCAGTGATGTTGACCTGTAGTTTTCCTTTTTTGTGTTGTCCCTGTCTGACTTTTGTATCAGAGTGATGTTGGCCTCATAGAATGTTAGGAAGCCTTCCATCTTCCCTAATTTTTTGGAATAGCTTGAGAAGGATAGGTATTAAATCATCTCTGAAAGTTTGGTAGAATTCCCCAGGGAAGCCATCTGGTCCTGGGGTTTTATTCTCTGGGATGCTTTTGATTACTGTTTCAATATCTTTCCTGGTGACTGGTCTATTCAGATTATCTGTTTCTTCTTGATTCAGCTTTGGGAGGTTGTAAGAGTCTAAGAATTTATCCATTTCCTCTAGATTATCCATTTTGTTGATAGTTTTTCATAGTGTTCTCTTATAATCCATTGTATTTCTGTGGTGTCTGTTGTTATTTCTCCTCTTTCATTTCTAATTTTGCTTATCTAAGCTTTCTCTCTTTTTTTCTTTGTAAGTCTGGCTAAGGGTTTGTCAATTTTATTTATCATCTCAAAGAACCAGCTCTTTGTTTCACTGATGCTTGCTATTGCCTTTTTTGTTTCAATAGCATTTATATCTGCCCTGATTTTTATTATTTCTCTCCTTCTGCTGACTTTCGGCTTTGTCATTGTTTTTCTAATTCAGTTAGGTGTAATTTGAGATTGCTTATTTGCGATTATTCTTGTTTGTTAAGGTGTGCCTTAAGGTATTGCAATGAATTTCCCTCTTAATATGGCTTTTGCTGCATCCCATATGAGTTGGTAAGGTATGCTATCATTTTCATTTGTCTCCAGATATTTTTTGATTTCTCCTTTAATTTCTTCAATGATCCATTGATTGTTCAGTAGCATGTTGTTTAGTCTCCACATCTTTGTCCCTTTCTCAGCTTTTCTCTTGTAATTAATTTCGAGTTTTCTAGCACGGTGATTGGAAAAGATGCTTGTTATTATTTCAATTTTCTTAAATTTACTGAGGCTTGCTTTCTTTCCCAACATATGGTCTATCCTTGAGAATGTTCCATGTGCACTTGAGAAGAATGTGTATTCTGCTGTTTTTGGATGGAATGTTCTGTATGTGTCTTTTAAGTCCATCTGGTCTAGCTCTTCATTTAATTTAACTGTTTCCTTGGTGATTTTTTGTCTGGATGATCTATACATTGATGTGTGGAGTGTTGAGGTCCCCTACTATTATTGTGGTATTATTAATATCTTCTTTTAGGTTTGTTAATAGTAGCTTTATGAACTTTGGTGCTCCTGTGTTGGGTGCATAGATATTTCTAAGTTATTTCTTCTTGATGGAGTGTCCCTTTGATCATTATATACTGCCCCTCTTTGTCTCTCTTTATCTGTCTTATCTTGAAGTCTACTTTGTCTGATATAAGTATTGTGACACCTGCCTTCTTTTGCTTGCCATTAGCTTGGAGTATCATCTTCCATCCCTTCACTCTGAGCCTGTGTTTGTCATTGGAGCTTTGTTTCCTGCAGGCAGCATATTGTTGAGTCTTATTCTTTAATCCATCTTGCCACTCTGTGTCTTTTTATTGGAGAATTCAATCCATTTATGTCTAGGATGATGATTGATGTATGACGGCTCAATTTTGTCATTTTATCACTCATTTTCCTGAATTTCCTTTGTTTCTCGTCCTGCGTGTTTTGGTCTACCGACTGAATTATGTAGTTCTTTATGATGTTTCTTTGTTTTTTCCTTGTTTATTATTTGTGTCTCTGTTCTGCTTTTATGTTTAGCGCTTACCCTGAGGTTTGTATTCAGAATCTCACGTAGAAGATAGTCAATTTTCTGATGGCCTCTTAATTCCTTAGTCTAACCCGATTCAGTCCCTTTCCTCCTCCACTCCTAAGTTGTTTTTCTCACATCTTGTGACATCTTGTGTTATGAGCTTGTGGTTAAAATGACAGGATTATCTTTGTTTTTGGTGTTTCCTTCCCTTTAGCTTAATGCTATACTTGAGTATTTGCTCTATTCTGATTGTCTACCCATTTATCTCCTCACTCTGTTGTGACCCGTTTCTCCCCCTTTTTTTCTGGTATCAGGGCCTTCTTGAGGATTTCCTGTAAGGTGGGGTGGGTCTTGTGGCTACGAACTCCATTAGCTTTTGCTTGTCTGGGAAAGTTTTATTTCTCCCTCATATCTGAAGGGTATTTTTACTGGATAGAGTATTGTTGGCTGAAAATTTTTGTCTCTTAAAGATTTCAACATGTCATTACATTCTCTCCTAGCTTCTAAGGTTTCTGCAGAGAAATCTGCTGAAAGCCTGATAGGGGTTCCTTTGTAGTTGTTTCCTTCTGCCTAGCTGCCCTGAGTATTCTTTCTTTGTCATTCATTTTTGCCTGTTTTACTACTATATGCCTTGCAGTAGGTCTTTTTACACTGACATATCTAGGAGATCTGGAAGCCTCACTGACACAGATTTTCCTCTCTTTCCCTAGGTTTTGGAAGTTCTCTGCTATTATTTCTTTGAACATGCTTTCTGCTCCACTCTCCTTCTCTAATACCTATAATTCTTATGTTACATTTCCTAATTGAGTTGGATATTTCTTGGAGACTGTATTCATTTCTCTTTAGTCTTAGTTCTCTCTCCTCCTCTGTCTGGAGCATTTCAACATGTCTGTCTTCAATTATGGTGATACACTCCTCTATGATGTCCACACAAGCATTCAGGAAATCTTTATTTTGTTTTATCTCTTCCATTGTATTTTTCATCTCTATTATTTCTGATTGATTCTTCTTTATACTTTCAATCTCTTTTGTGAAGTAGCTACTGAACTTGTTTCTCTACATACTCTTTTACCTCATTGAGTTTTTTGATGATAGCTATTTTGAATTCATTGTCAGTTATATTACAAATTTGTGTGTCCTCAGGACTGAATTCTGGGTACTTCTCGTTTTCTCTCTGGTCTGGAGATTTGATATAGTGTTTGATATTGCTAGAGGAGATGGGTTGGATCTTACACATCCTGATATTATTTGGTTGCAGTTACCGCCTATTGCCACTGGGTGTGGGTCAAGATCCATGTATTCTGAGCCCTCTGCCTTCAGCCGAGATCCCAGGCAGTGGAGCAGGGGCGGGGCAGGTGTCTCCTCCATGCTCTCTGGGCTTTCTCACTCTGCTCTTGCTATCTGGTCTCCTGGGGTGTTGGCTTGATGAGGTCACCCCCCATGAAAGTCCTCACCCCAGTAGAGGTCTTCCATGTAGGCTGCACAGGCCCTCAGTGGTCCTTGATGTTCCTTCGAATGAACGTCCCCTCCCCTGTTCCTTCTCTCACAAAACCTCCTGTGGTTGCAGATTGCAGTCTTTAGGGGAGGGGGTGACGTTCTCTCTTATTCCATTGCAGCTCCTCTGAGGGGGGTTCCAGCCTCTCCGGCCTCCGTTGTATGGCTGTGTGTCTCTCCGACGTTTTTGTGTTGTGTTAGGATGTCCTCTGTTGGAGTGTGGATGCCCCTTTTTGTTGTATGTTGGAGGGGAGAGTCTCCCAGGCAAGTTCTCTCTGCCATGATGCTGACATCACTCTCCAGCCTTAAGTATTGTTAAAAATAATCTTCCCATACTTCAAATTTTCTTCTGTAAAAAGTTCTACGTTTTAACTTCCATAGTCCTTTACATAAATCTCTTTCAACATCATTCCAAGATTTTTCTTCTGATCATACTCCCTCAAAAAAACCCTCTTTTTCATTTCCCAATATTTTTTGGCTGTTATGATCCCTAAGTATAGCCTCAATCTCCAGTTAACTCACACTTGATGTTGCAGAACCTGACATTTGCTGCAGTAATGTGAATTCCCACACTGCTTTTGCCTAAAAGGGACTCAAAGTCATCATTTTAACCTGAACAATCTTTTGGTTTCTAAATGTGCTCAAATAAACAAGTCAGAAAAGATTCTATAAACTTTTAATACCAATTATCTTTGGGGAATAGGAATTTTGGTAGGTAAGTGGGGTGGACATCTCCTTTTCAGTTTATACACCTGGGGATTATCTGAATTTGCTATATGTATTACATGCACATGAACATGCATTAATTTTATAATGAAAAACAATTAAGATTTAAAACAACTTATTTGACAAGTGAAAAGCAAATTAGATAAATCACTTGAATAATAATTTTAACAGGGCTGTTTAGCATTGATTTGACCAAGCCTATAAAGTTTGATTCTATTTGAATTATTTGGAATTAGTAATTGCTCTACTTACTTTCTGCCTTGTTTCTGAAGTCCTTTCTTAAAAAATTACAAACTTATACAAATAACAGTTCATAATACTTTATTATTCTCTTCCTCCATAGAAAAAATCAAATACATACAACTGGGAAATAATTAATTCTAATATTCTTCATGCTTATAAAAATAACTAATATAGACCTATATGACTGTTGAGTTGTGCTGCCCAATATGGTAGCCAGTAACCACAGGTAGCCATAAAATTAAAAATTCAGTTCTTCATTCACACCAGCCATATTTCAAGTGCTTAGCAGCCATGGGTGACTACTGGCTGCCTTACTGGACAGCAGATATAGAATATTTCCATCATGATATAAAGTTCTGTTGGACAGCACACTGGCCTAGCGTATATATTTTATATTCTTCCCTCACCTACCATCTACCAATGAATAATAGTCCAAAGTAAAAGTGACTCAACTTGAAATTATAGACTAGTTTGCTTAGTTGGATTACCAGAGATAGCATGGCTCCATAAAATTTACTCATCACCAAACTAAGATCAGAGGAGTTTCATAGAAGAACCCCACATAAACTATTCCCTTAAACCATCAAATCAAGGATGCTCATGGTTCTTTGTTTCTCTGTGGATCATTTATTAAGCATTAAGGGTCCTTCACAGGTTCCAGGGAATACCTCTTCTCAGGTGAGCAAAATACCTTAATACCAAATGGAAATCAACTGTAAGATCAGGACTTCACTCACAATTTGATTTTTTTGTTGTTGTCATGAGTCTAGAGCCCCACGGTTTGTTTTGGTCCAAGTTTATTTCTGTAGGGTAAATATCCATTTAACTATCATCAGAGGTGCTGTCTTTTTAAATTATTGTCTCTTTTTTCCTTCAGTTAATATCAGAATGAAAACTGTGCTATGGGAGAAAAGTTTATAAAGGGTCTCCTTATTCTGATGAGGCAAGGAACACTTTTATGTTTCAGCCATTGATTGCAAGCTTAAAAAATCAATCTCTGGCTATTAGGACATAATGCAAAGTCTGTATTTAAAACAAACTGGTTCCTTCGCCCCACTTCTAACTCTCCTCCCATTCAGTTTTCTCATTAAATAAGACAAGCACCTCTGTGATGGGCCAGGTCTCAGGAAGGACAGATAATGTTCTTACCATTCCAGCTCTCACTGTGGTTGGAAGAGAAACCCTGTGTAGTTTTGGGTCCCAGATTCTTCTGTATTATACATATATATGCAATACTTGAAAATGATCTGTTTTAAAGCACTAGTGTCATCAAATGCTAACTCTATAGAGGTGGCCACAGAATTTATCTGGTTCTTAATTGGTTATTGGGCTGAATTTTATTTTACCGATTCAATTTATCTCAAAATAACCCTCTGATGGTTGTCCACTTAGAGTATTTCCAAACTGCTGTTTGAACTCAGGCCTCAGTAGTAGCTAACCTTGAATTCCTTTCCCTTGATCCTATGCTTTTGGCCTGGACACAGAAACTTTTAAGTGCCACACAGTGAAAATACAACAGCTGAGATGCTAAAAAGCCCTACATCTGACTTCTCTGCAACAATACATCAAATAACCTTGTGTTTTCTATATGGCTAAAGATTGAGACTGAAAGTACTATTAGAGCTGAGGACAATTATAATGGTTTTCGGCTTAGTTTAGATCCATTACACCATGATTTTTAGAACAGAATAAGGAAAGGGAACAAATCTAAAACAGGACAAGAAAAATGGCACTCTCCTCCCCCATCAACTGTGAATAGAGGGCAATGGACCATTTTTAGTATAATTTTAGTTAAATAATATGTATCTAGGGGCAAATTCCAGCAAATAATACAATTGAGCCACAGAGTTAGACTTTTAAGACTTTAACAAAGAAGGACCAGTGAAAATATTCCCTTTAGAATGAGAATGATAATACTTATGCACTGAAAACATATCCTTGACAACTGTCATCATTCGGGTTTGAGGTTAAGTACAGTGGCATAATCCTCTGGAAGAATATTTCTGACACAAAAAGGAATTAATAGTGTGTGGAAAAGGGATGTTCCACTCTCTTCCGCATCATGCCCCAAGTTTGTGTACACTCTCCTGCAATTCCTGCCTTCCCCACTTTCAATTTCTTCTCAATGAAACCACTGAGAAAAGAGAAAACAGAAATGGTGATAGTGAACCGGATATAAAAAATTTGCAATGAAGACTTTAATAAATAAGTTTAAAATGGGCATTTTTAAGCTCTAGCCACTATCACAGTACTTGGTAAACATGGATTTCTTGGCTTTTTTCCTTGAACCATCAAAAGTCTTGAAAGCTTCAGAAGGCGGTCCTCCAGAACTTCAAAGTATTTTATTTATTTAAGAGTAGATTTCACTACTAACCTTACCTGCTTCATATTTTGTTGGCTGCTCTACCAGTATAAATTTAGTGTTCATAGATAAAAAAACATATTTTCACAGCAGCAAGTCTGTATCCATTACTGTGAAGTTGGCTTTCCAGGGAATTTGATGTTCCATCACGAATTAAATTATCTGCTCCCAAAGTAACTTCATTTGCAAAATGTCAGTAAAGTTCACAGCTCTCTTTTAAAATTCAAGCCACTCTGTCATGTAAATACAGTTAGATGGTGAAATCTCACCACCTTCATGGCAGTCATCAAAAACCTTTAAAAAAGCAAAAAGTTTATATTCAAACTGAAGTTTTAAAATTATTAACATTATAGGTAAGGTCTTAAATGTCATCTACCATTAAAATTTAACAAAATATCTAAAACTCAGGTGTCTATTTAAAGTGATATTGAAAACAAAACGTTCAAATTGAAAGAAATTAAGACTGTATTTAGGATCATACTACAATAAGACAATCTGTGACCCTAAAGATAGTTAATGAGAGACCTTTTACTGTAGCATTAAGATGACCATGTTCACCTGCCCACTGGCCAAAAGGCTATTAGCAGGTAACAAAGGAATACAGGAAGGGAGAGCTATACGTATGAATGACTTCATTTTGAGTAACAAAATGTTTCATGTTTAGCTACTTTCCTTTTTGTGAAAGGTGCTAAACAGAATTCCAAATATGCTAGCCTTTTTTCTACGAGTTGAAACCAGAGCATGGAGTGCTTAGTCATATAGACAAGGGCCAGTATAATGAAATAAAACATACCTAGCAGTCCAAAAATATAAATGCCATGAGGGCTGGGATAGTGCTTACAGCACACAGCTGTCACTCATAAACTATCTGGAAATGAATGAGTGAAGAGTGCGGGGACATGCTGCAGGGAAAAGAACATTATCTCTGAGTTTGAATCCTGGTTGTTACTTCTAAGTTGTATGCTCTGGGTCTTCCTTAGCCTAAGTTCCCTCATGCTGAAGGGAAATGCCACTAGCTCCAAGGGACAGGAGGAGGATTAAATGAGACAACATGAGAATCATCAAGAACATGTCTGGCCCATGGTAGGTTCTCAATGATCTCTTGATTAAATGATTAGCTCTCATCAGAATCGTCCAGTTCAGGGCCAAGAGCAGAGCACACAAATTCCCTTAACCCTGGATATTCTAAGAAAGAATGTAAGGCAAAGATTTGTTCATTAAAGGTCCATAATTAAGATTACATGGAGGTTTGAGCAGCTCTTGGTCAACGCTGAGAGTTTGAGAAAACTGGAGTGTGCCTGCTGGCACAATACATGGCATTTGCACTTGGTGGCAGTCAAGTATAAAGTGAAGCCACTTTAACTCACCGGGCAGAGTCCACAGGGAGCCCGGACCAAACCTGTGGGCGGGATGATTGGATTGACTGCCCTATACAGTTTCATGTGTCCGTCTACACTGCCAACTGTGCCTTCTTTTGCAGCAATGATAGTCATCTCCACTTTCCCATCATAAATGAGTGTATTCAAGATGGTTTCAATGTCCTCCATGGACAACTCTACCTAAAAAAGGGGATACATTAGAAAGCAAACAAAATGGACAAGCAGACATCCTTTTGGAGGGGATGGTAAATCGAAAAGGTTCACAATTCCCTGGTGAAATAGGGAAGCAGTCTGCTGGAGAGTAATCAAAAGCACAAAGAGGCTGAACAATGGCCCAAGTTAGCACAAACCACTGAAATGCAGGGGACAAAATTCTAACCTCATGCTCAGTTTCACATTTTCTGACATCTTTATCGTCCTAAGTAAAATCTAGAAGTCTTTTAAAGTAACATTTCTTTGGTAAGAAATTGATGGAGATTTATTAAATGCTTGAGCAGAAACATACTTTACATATCAAAGAGTGCAAATTCCTAGTTTTTTATAAATGAGAAATCTGGGGCCCAGGAAATGAAAACAACTTGTCCAAGAGGCCATTTCAGTTTCTTCTCTGACTATGAGTAGCATCCAGTACAGTGTTCTTATATATAGGTCTTCAAAAGAATATGCTGATAACACCACTTACATCTCATAAGTAGGAAAACACCAATAAATGACACCTGATGTGATAACTGATGTTTGGCACTTATGTTGAAATGTCCCTAAGAAAGTCAAGAACTTATCAGGAGACTTGAATTTTGGCAGTGAAATGCGCTGCCAGGCCTCCACTCTGCTGCTCTATATCCCAAGCTCAAGTATATACAGTTCAGACAGTGCCCGACGGCAATGATCGCCTTTGCCTAACTGGCTTATAACAGTACTTTCTCAAAGTGGGTTCTGCAGAATGTTCACAGGTATCACCTGAAAAAAGGGTCTGGGTCAAATGTTTGGAATACCTTGAAAACTATATCCCTATGATGAAGAAGTTGTTTTAAAAAATAAGATGAAAAGTAGAAACTGGGTTCCAACCTTACTGATCCCCAATTCACAGATGTATTTCCACACTTCATGTGACGAAGCAAATGAACTATTTCTTTGTATCATCGGATTCTGTTTGCTTTCTCGTGCTGTTTCTGCCTATAAGGGTAGAAACATAAATCTCAGCAAGAATACTGGTGTTTTCTGAATACAATTTATGCAGAGTGAAATCAACAGAACATATTTTGTTTCATAAAAATTACTAATTCAATATTTTCAATTCCTATAAAATATGACATATAAGATTAAACATTCTTTATGAAGAAACTTTTTAAAGACAAACTTGTATTGCTGTCTCCTCAATTATGCCTCACCTTGCTTTGTAGGAATTTAAAGCACTGTTGGTTAAGCACCTCTACAAATTCGGATTCAAAATCCTGGTCACTGTACCAGGCTCCACCAGTCACAGACCGGTCCGGCTGCAGGTTATACAGCATATACACCTTCTTTTTTGAGGCCTAGGAAAAAACATGCACAGCAGATGTGGTTCTAAGGTAACAGTGTTCCAAAATTAAGATTTAAAAAAAAAAACCCAAACTATATTTTAGAGCAGTTTTAGATTTACAGAATTATTGTGAAAATGATAAAGTTCCCATTTACCTTATGCACAGCTTCCCGTATTATTAACATATTATGAGGGTACATTTATTACAATTAATGAACCAATACTGATATATTATTATTAAAGTCTATACTTTACTCAGATTTTCTTTTTTCCCCCTAATGTCCCTTTTCTGGTCGAGGATCCTATCTAGCATACCACATTACATTTAGTTGTCATGTCTCCTGAGGCAAATTTGGTTGTGACAGTTTCTCAGACTTTCCTTGTTATTGATGAACTTGCCATTTTTGAGAATTACTGGTCAGGTATTCTGTAGGATGTCCCTTAATTGGGATTTGTCTAATGTTTTTCTCATGATTAGACAGGAAAAAAGACTACAGAGGTAAAGTGCCCTTTTCATCACATCATATCAAGGGTACTTGATCATCACCAAATGATGATTATCATCAATACGACTTATCAACGTTGATGTTAACCTTGATCACCTGGCTTGAGGTGGTATTTCTCAGTTTTCTCCACTGCAAAGTTACTTGTCCCTCTGCCCTTTGCATATGTGGAAGGAAGTCACTATGCACAGTCCACTCTTGTGGACTTAAGTCCCACTTGGACTTATGCTCCACCTCCTTGAGGGTGGAGTGCCTACATAAATTATTTGGTATTCTTCTGCACAGGATGTCTGTCTATTCTCCATTTATTTATTTATTCAAATATTTCTATCAGTATGGATTCATGAATATTTATTTTATTTTATTTTTTTAAATATTTTATTTTTCCTTTTTCTCCCAAAGTCCTGAGGTACATAGTTGTGTATTTTTAGTTGTGGGCCCTTCTAGTTGTGGCATGTGGGACGCCACCTCAGCGTGGCTTAATGAGCAGTGCCCTGTCTGCACCCAGGATACGAACCGGTGAAACCCCAGGCTGCCAAAGCAGAGTATGCAAACTTAACCACTCGGCTATGGGGCTGGCCCCTGAATATTTATTTTATACTTTGGGTTAAGGATATAAAGGACTCCCTACACTTAAAACTATAAAACCTTGCTAAGAAAAATTTTAAAAGACCTCTGATACTACTTTATTTAAAAACCTTGAAAACATCATGCTAAGTGAAAGAAGCCAGACAAAAGACCACATATTGTATGACTCCATTTATATGACATCCAGAACAGGCAAATCTACAGAGACAGAAAGTACATTAGTGGTTGTCAAGGCCTAGGGGCAGGAAGGCTGGGGAGTGACTGCTGGGGGAATCACATTATGAGGTGATGAAAACGTCTAAACATTAGCATAGCATGATGGTTGTACAACTTTGTGAGTATACTAAAAACCACTGAATTGTACAACAAAAAACTGTACAAAAAAAGGGATAAATTTTATGGTATGTGAATTATAGCCATATATTGCTTAACAACATGGATATGTTCAGAGAAATGCGTCATTAGGCAATTTCGTCATTGTACAAACGTTATAGAGTGTACTTACACAAACCTGGATGGTATAGCCTACTACACACCTAGGCTATACGGTACTGCTCTTATGGGAGCACCATTGTATATGTGGTCCATTGTTGACCAAAACATCATTATGTAGTGCGTGACTGTATGTCTCAATAAAGCTCTTATTAAAAATAAAGATGTAGAAGGGAGACTGGCAAAATGAAGCGAGGTGATGGGTACATGGGGATATGTTATATTATTTTCTCTGCTTTTGTATATATTTGAAAGTAGCCATTAAAAACTGTGGAAGAGAAATAATATTCTAAAATTAGGGAGTGATATGATATCAATATAATTTGGTAAATAAAATCACTGATGAACATCAAATTCTTAATTACTGAAACTGTGTTCAAGGAAACTTTAGGGAAGTCTCAGCTCTAATGCCTATGTCAGTGAGGTGAGCGCAGATGTCCCTGATGGAGCCAGCTCTGGAGCATGGAGCCCCAGAAGAACGTGACAGGCGTAGGGTGGGATGAGGAAGAGGAGAAACACCATGTGCTGGAACAGATGCTCCACCAGGGCAGAGATCTTCCTCTGAGTTGTTCACTAACGTACCCCAAGCACCCAGAACAGTGCCTGGCACACAGCAAATGCAAAATAGGTATTTGCTGAATGAGTAATCCAGAATGGCAGGGTGAAGTAAATTAACTTACACACCACAAAATCCAGGAAAAATGTTCATGATTCCAAAAATCCTTTACTGAAGAGAGTTAAGAAGTTTTAGATTTTTAGTGGGTAAGACACTAAGAATTAACCAGGCAGTGACATATCTAGGCAGCATCTCCAAACCAATCCAATATGAACTAAATTTTTAAAAATCTTTTTGACCAGTTGTTTTAAATCACGACATAGCTTAAACGACAATATAAACTTGAAATATAGTTGGAACAATATATGTATAGTGAACATTTGGGGGAAGAAAAGAAAACTACTCACTGCCACAGACTTAACAGCTTTGATAAGCTTTTTACTTTCCAAATTCTTTAGAATTTTGTTAATTTCTGTTAATGGCAAGTTACTCTTGTATCGGATATCTCTGCTCCATATTCCTATAAGAAAGTCAAGTAAAATAAGTTGAATACTAAAGGACTTGTTTTATCTTGTTGCTTATATCTCATTCCAAAACTAGCAATATATATATATATGTATATATTCCTACAGCATAGCTGGAATCCTACTGTGGTACCTTTTAAAAAAGAGATGAAAAGGACATTTCTATAATGGAAGAAAAATCTTAAATGTTATTTAATTAACTTATATTGTTTCCTCAATCCCCTCATGCACCCCAAACTTGTTTTCTGTTGTTTTCAGTTTAGATTGTAGATGTCAAAAACAAACGTAAGTTTGGGTCAGGACCAGCTGCCATCCTCAACGGAGAGCAAAAAACCCTTTATGTGAGACTGAATGCACATATATCCATTACTCATACAATACTATATTTGGGAGATGGAAAGTGGAAGATTGTGGTTCTTACAGCCACTAAAAGCCCTGCACAGGAAGCTATGATTTCTCTTTTAAAGAAGGACATAAGCATTAACCGTGGAAAGTAAATTTTATGTAAAAATATTTTGCCCTATTTTCTTCCTAAAGTAAAGGCATAATGAAGTAGGAAGAATTTCTTAAAAGTAGAGAACTTTTTATGTCTACTTTTAAAATGTTAATTTAACTTCCTAACTAATAAATATGAGAATTATATGATTTTAGATTATATCATAATTGTTAGCTAACATCAATGACTCAAATAGATCCTAAATTGTAATAACAGCAATTTAGATATGGTTCTTCAAGGGGGACAGGAGAGGAACTAAATAGCTGTGAGCGACCTATGTCAGACACCGCCACACTGCACTAGGTATCCCTCTGGTTTTTGCAAAAACCAGAGACGTTATTATCCACAATTTACAGCTAAGATGAAGAAACTAAGGCTTCCAAAGTTTAGAAAGTGAGGATTAAAAAAAAAAAAAAAAACTTTAAGTTTTAATTTATTTATTTTTAGAGAAGACATTCACATGGTTCACAATCAGAAGTTTCTTTCCATCCCTGCCCATAGCCATCTAGTTCCTGCCTCCTTTGAGGCAACAATGGCATTACTCTGGGTGTCCTTCAAGCATACGTACATTATATATGTATGTCATATTTTCCTTTCCTTTTAACACAAATGGCGGCATCCTCTACACACTGAGCTATACCCTGGGAAGCCAGGATCTCAGACCCTTCCCAAAGACAATGTTTTTTCTGCTTCTTCCTTCACATGCTTACCTTTATTTCCTGCATCCTCTATGATTTGATATACTAGTTTTTCTTGGTTATCTGATCCTTTCATTTTACTGCAGGGGAATAAAATAGAATTAAAGAGGCAAAGAGGTATAGGATAATCTAATAATCTAGATGACTACTTAAACGAATTAGCAGACAAGGTCACCACACTGACTTATTTACCAAAAGAAGGGCTTACCTTAGAAAGAATGAGACAGGGCTGAATGTACCAGAATGAAAAGATGTCCAAGATACAGTAAGTGAAAAAAACAAGTTGCAAAACAGTATGGATAGCATGATCCCATTTTTGTTAAAAAAAAAAAAAAAGAAAAGAGATTATATATAAATATATAGTATATAAATATATAATCATCTATATGTATTTATATATACCAAATTATTAAGCACAGTTATCTCTGGGAAACAGAACTCATGATGGGAGGTGGGGATGATATGTAAGACCAGTTAATAGTATGCAATTCTATATTGGCTTTTTTCCCCCAAAACATGTATTACTTTTGTAATAATTAAAATTTTCTTAGAATAAAAAAAATTAGGTGCTTACCCAGCATTCTGAGAATCCTTTATTCTATACAGAAGGCCTGTATTGCTCCGTAAGAGATCCAGTTGACCCTAAAGTTTTGTTTTATAGAAAATAGCAGTGAATTATTTTGCAGATATATCAAATCCAATGAAAATGTTAATGCATTCTTTAATATTTTACACAGAGTAAAATATCCTACCTCCCAGTTATTTGTCAGTTCCTTACTTGAGACTTAAGATTTTGCCTACATATCATGTGCAATGTACTTTTCAAAACTTAGCTCTTTATCTCATTATTTTCCAAAATATTAATACCTAACAATTTCCTATATGCCAGATCCTCGCTTGGCTATATGATCAATGAGTAAGGAATTTTAAACAGGCAGCTTTAGAATAAATGAAAATCCATATTCAAATTTAAATAAGTTCAATAAATATATATAATAATACAATAAAAATTAAAATATAATTTATATAAATAAGTTCAAATGAAAGCTAAACATGCATAAATATTCTATAACATGATAGCTAAATAAAATTTACAAAGTTAATAGTGACATTTACTCATATGATTTCTATAGTGTTATGTGAAAATTAGGCAGAAAGGTCAACCAATGAATAAAAGGCCTGTGGTGGTTTTGTTTTTATATAACAAATCAAAAGTAAAACAAAGCATGTCTACCATGCTTCTGAATTTCCTTGGGTCTGAATTTAGAGCATCCAGACGGCTGTACCACTGGACTTCTGGCAGTTCCGGGAAGCCACGACTGAGAGAGGCCTCATTCCCGTGAGTTAAGACTGGGCAGACCCATGACTTGAAAACAGGTTTTCATATGGAGGAACAGCAATACCCGCCCTCCCTCCCTAGACCCCACTAAGTGGAAAATCCAACCACAAAATTCAATTTGGAGGCTCATTCCGTTGTTTAATTCAGCTATGACCCTTAAATGAACACCTGTGCTGTAACAGGTGTTTGGGGGGACAAACATGAATTGTGAAAGAGAATCACACAGCTAACTTCAATATCATCCGGTTGGCATTAAGATAGGGGTAAGTAAAGAGTGGGAGATGCTCTCAGAGAAGCAGCTTTGGCCCAGCCTGGGGGGTCAGGGAGGCTTCCTGGGGATGATAGCAGAGTTGAGTCTTGAAAGGTAATGAGGAGTTACTCCTTCAGTTCGTCAAGAAGGGCCTTCTAAGCAGGGAAGACAGCAGGAACAAAGGACCTGACGCATGAAACAGCATGACGTGGCCAGGAACCAAAAACAATCTGTTCCCTTTAAAACCCAACTTTTGCGGCAGAGTGGTAAAGGCAGATGAGGCAGGTGAGAAAGGTAGGGGCTCAGTGTGGTAAACCCAGGGGTTTGGACTTGAATCTCTAGCACTGAGCACAACTTTCAGTGGGAAAGTGACTTGGCCAGATCTGTATTTCAGACAGATCAGGCTGGCTGCTCTGAGGCAGACAGAGCAAGGAAAGCCAGTTAGGAGGCACGGCAACAGGCCAGGTAAAAGCCAGAGCCTGAATACATGCAAGGGCAACAGGAATGGAAATGGGGGACAAATCTGAGAATTGTTTAAGAGTTAAAATCACCAACATTTTGTGATTTATTAACAATTACTCCTTGCTTAAAATTCTTCAGTAGCTCCACCACTTCCTATAGCCTATAGGACTGGCGGGAGGTGGGGTTGCAGAGGTGGTAAAAGAGAGGGAGGTGCTGAGGATGATTTTCAGACAGAAAGGAAAGGGCTGAAAGGGTGGCCAGAAGACAAAAAATATTTTCCATTGCCACATCCTTCCAGCATCCCTCCCTCTACTGTTCCTGGGGCTGAAACCTTCACCACAGTGAAGAGACTAGAACTCACCAACATTCCTTTTTTGCTTGGGCTAAAACACGGATGAGCAATCTGGCCCACTGAGCTTTTGCAAATAAAGTTTTACTGGAAAACAGCCATGCCCATTTGTTTATGTATGGTCCATGGCTACTTCTTGGAGAGTTGAGTAGTTGTGACAGAAACCATATGGCCTGTAAACCCTAAAACATATACAATCTGGCACTTTATAGAAGGAGTTTGCCAACCTCCGTGCTAGAAGGTTAAAGGGAGTGGTTTAACAGAAGGCTCACCTGTCCTCAAATCGCCATATCCAGAGCCATTAGAAATCCAACAAAGCTTAAAAAGCAAATGGGCCTTCACACGAGTCCTCAGTCCTCCACCTAATTGCTACTACAACCAAACTGAAACACTCTCAGGATATAGGATTTTGATGATGTGGGAAAGGAAGGAGAAAGAGGTAGATTTAGAGCACGGGGCACCATTAGGTGGGATGTTTTTGGACAAGCGGGAAATGACACTAGGGCCCCAGGAGAACAGAAGAGGTAAGAGCAGGTAGAAGGTTTCACTGAAAAACCCCACTGCCGTGTCACTGGACGCAGAGCCTGCACTTCCTCCCAGAGGCCTAGCACTGATGACATTGAACTGGACTCATTCCTGCCTCCTGAAATGCTCAGAGTGAGAACGTGGAGAGTAATACCCTAATGAAGTGACTCTGTGATGACTCTCAGCAAAATCAGGGGGTAATATTTCACAGGGAATGGCCCCACACTAGCAGTAGAAGCAAACAGAAGGTAAGAACAGATACACCTATGTGTACTTACACATCTTAATGACAATTAGATTAATAAATACAACAGTTAAAAGAAAATACATTTATGTTACTCATCTTGTAAAATGACGAGTAATTATTTCTTCTTTCCTCAGTTTAGGCTGTCTGAGCTGTTTCCTGGTTTGCAGTCTTATCAAAGTCACAATCTAACACACTTTTGAATGGTTTCATGACTACGTAATAGGAAGTAACGACAATCAAAACATATACATAATTATGTTAACTAGCTGGATTCACCTTACCATGGACAACAGTCTATTGATGGCCACTGCCCGTTGCTGGGCTTCTATGTGAGGCATTTCATTCTGAATTACTTGGTCTGTGATTCCATGAGGGAACTGGTGACATAATTCTATAATTCTAGGAACAAAGGCATTAATGATATTATTCATGTTTTTACCTATTTCAAGAGGCAGTGGGGGGAAAATACAAGCAAAACAGTTTGAAATTGTGCCTTTTTTCACATTTGGCAGATAATCTGGGTTTCTATGATGGTTCTGAATCAAAGCATGTTAGAAATTGAGGAAGATTCTGAAATACACGTTTACATTATTACTGCTATTTAAGGGAACTATTCCTTTTCCTCACCCATAGGAACTCTAAATTAGAAGAAAAGTCAAATGAAAACAGAAAAAATATTAAAGCTGAGGCTTCAATTTTCTCAGATCGAACAAGTATGACAAAGTTAAGATACAGTGCCTTGGGTAGCCACGTTTGTAAGCAGGAGGCAAATTGGATGTTTCCGGTGGGAAGCCAAAATTTGTTATGACAATTCATCACAACTGGGGCCGTTTTGGGGATTATCTGTACCAAACAAAAATAAGCCCAAATCCTCACCTTGTCATAGGATCATCATATGTGTTATTCCTAACAGTTTGAGAAAGTTGGGGTCTTTTAAAACTATGTAGTAAGGGGCCGGCCTGGCGGCGTAGCGGTTCAGTCCCCACGTTCCGCTTCTCCGCGGCCCGGGGTTCGCTGGTCCGGACCCTGGGCGCAGACATGGCACCACTTGGCAAGCCATGCTGTGGTAGGCCTCCCACATATAAAGTGGAGGAAGATGGGCACGGATGTTAGCTCAGGGCCAGTCTTCCTCAGCAAAAAGGGGAAGACTGGCAGCAGATGTTAGCTCAGGGCTAATCTTCCTCAAAAAAAACCCACAAAAAACTATGTAGTAACCTAAAAATTGCAGTGCACGGATAGAGAATACAAAATTAGAAGAGGCTTTAGATGCCCTAAAATCTTGACCTAAAACTGCATCAAAACCGTTTGGCTTATGTTGCTTCGCAACCACAAACTGCTCCCTAAGTTTGCTCAAACATTCTGTCGTGGGAGTTCCCTTAGTGACAACAGCGATCCTGCATCAGAACATGTATCCGCAAGTGTTACAGAAAAAACGCGGAGTCCTCTCTGAGCGTCGATTACCTTAACGTAGCAAGGAAGCGCATCACCACAAGTTCCCGAACAGCATCGGGGCAAGGTAAGCAGCACAAGGTTGCAAATGTCAAACTCGTTTTGAACTTCTTAAGAGTTCTGCTCCCTGGGGACAGGAGTGGGGGGTGGTCCAAATCCCGCAATCCCTTTCCTGTGCGCTCGTGGAACTTGCTCCGGTATCTACCGAGGGGCCCAACAGAATTGGTCTGGCTGCGGGGGCTCCCGAGCCGGGAACCGAGCCTCTCTCACTAGTTTACCTGTTTTCTATTTCCACCGGATCCGCGTCGGGCGGCTGCACCTTCACTTTCACCTCAGCCATGAGGGCGCAGTTCCCGGGAGACGCAGGGACTGGCCAGAGAGCGAGCCGGGGAAGCAGGGCACTCGCGAAGACAGCACCTGGCCCGGGCTACGGGCCTTCTTCCTCTTGTCGCAGCAGGTCCTTCCTTGTCTGTCGCCTTTAGGTGGCCAAGCCGCGCCTGAAACGCCTTGCTCACCCGCGCCGCTAACTTCTTTTTCTTGTTTTCCAGAATGTCAATGCTTGTCGGACGAACGAGCCTGGTTCTCTCATTCTGAGTCGACACGCCGCCTTTAAGCACGCTCCAACCTCTGTGAAGGCATATTCTCGGATGCCTACGGAGAAGCCTCAGGAAAGGAGCTCCAGGCTGGTGCCGTTCTTCCGGCCAGGCGGCAGGGGCGGAGCTGGTTGCTAGGAAGCGGGTTTCCACCAATCACCTGCCCAGCTCTCAGTGGGCGGGGCGCGGCTCGCAGCGTCTGTGGTAACCCGGACAGCGGTGAAGGAAAAGGCCAGAGGCCGTGAGAGGTGCGTTACCTGGCTAGGGGCGGCGGAGGTGTCTCGGGGGTCCCGATCCGGGTTCCGGTGGCCAGAGGAGGAAAAGGTGGAGGAGGGCCTCCTTCACACCGCTTGAAAGGGAGCGGACGTCCCTAGCTGCCTCTGATGGGCGGGAACGGGAACGAGACGGGGTTCCGGATCCGGGCGGTGAGAGGGTAGTCTGGGCGGAGGGAGTAGAGATGTGGGCGGTGCTGTGGACCCCATACTGTGGCTGGACGTTGCCGATCGGTCTGCTTCTTGATCCCCGTCGCTTGGGGCCCACTGACTGCCCCAGCCTCGTAAGGGCAGCTCCTAGTTGCCGCGCGAGTTATTCCCCAACTATTTTTATTTTGAACTAATTTTTCAATTATTTTTACTTTAACTGCCTCTGACTTAAATGGAAAAATGAGGAAGGACACCCCGCGAGTACAGCCCCTCCCCGCTTCGGTAGGGGCTGTTACTCTACTATCAGTATCTACAGTTTAAATTCTTAGCCTTCTACCTGAAACTATTCAACCATTAAGTTCACTCCTTAAATTTAGTTATCCCGCTTTTGGGAATACAGTCTGTGACAAAGTTCAAACCCCAAGATGTTCAGTGCAGCATTATTTAGAATTGCAACGACCAAAACTAAAAAGAAACTAAATGCCCAACCACAAATTGATAAATAAATACGTAGAAAATTGTAAATAATAGAATGAGGGTGCAAGAAGTACGCTAAAAAAAAGTTGAATGAATGTTTAGATCACAATTGAGTAAAACCCTACGTTATCTATAATCGTTGAAATTCGAGAAGGCCATACAGAGATAGAAATAGTTGCTGTATTAGGATAAGGGTTGCTTTTTTTCCTCTTGAATCCTTTATGTATTAATAATTGTGATGCCCTCCTCCAGGAAAAAGATCCGTAAGGCCTCGATACTCGTACTTAATTATTTAAATAGAGAAATGGAGTGGGAGACTTTTGTGGTTGTTGCTCACTATTTCGATCCGTGCTGGCTTTCTGCTGAGGCTGGTGCTCTGCCATCCATCTAAAGTTTCTTTGCAGCTTTCAAATACGAGAACCATTTGGCCACAGCTGCAGGGCTTTGAACTCGCAGCTTTCCCAAAAGAGTTGGCTCGAAATTAACGTTTCATGATACATACAGCGTTATTTCTGTTCCTCTTGTGTGATGATTTGCCCTGAAGCCAAGAGAGGTGGCACACTAATAAGAGGCAGGAAAGGGTGACAGTGATCCAGAGGGAGCTCAGATCACATCATTAGTGATGGTCTCTGTTCTGACATATTCAGTTAATTTGCCCATTTAAAATAATTCCATTTCCCCATCCCATTCATTCATGCTCTTTTCCCAGAAGGTAAGTATTTACAAAATCAAAACTCCACACAAGACCTCAACAGCAAAAATAGAGCTGAAACAGCAATTATTTCAATTAAAAATTGAGTAATATTTGTAGGTAGTATATTAACAGTAGTCTCTTTAGTTTTTACTAGTTTTACTGTATTTAAATGAGGTGCTTCTCTTCAGCTTTTCTGTTCCAATATAGATGCCCACTGGAATTTATTTTCATCCAGTTTTTTTAATGTAAGGAGAGAAAATGACTGCTGGTTCAGTGTGTGTCCCTCAGATCATACCTCTGCGAGTGCCTCAGCCCGGAAAAGCCAACCATGAAATTGATAACAATACACTTGTGGAAATGAGATCGGGTGAGAATCAAATGTACTTGAAATCATTTGAAATAACATTATCATACTTTTTATTTTCATCTGGTTGTTGGTTTACTTCTTTGCATGCTTTCTGTAATCAGCACCTTAGGAAGTTTGTAAAACTTCCCAAATTTGAAACAGTGTCATTCCTGATGGTTTTTAGAGTGGTGTGTATCTAGCTTACAAAGTGAGCTCTGACCCGCCTTTCATTTGTATAGATACATAGTTGCAGCAATGCCTTAACTCAGGTTAGCCAGGGTAAGATGACCTGTGCTTCCCCAAACTTTCCCAGGAGTCTCATTATTTTTCTGGGATAATAAATTTGATCTACTAACACAGGCTTTCCTGGCAGACAGGTTGGAGATTGAATCTTGGCTTTGACAACTTCTAGTGACTTTCAGTACTTCCTTAGCCTTTCTGAGTCTCAGTTTCCTCATCATTAGACAGTGATGATAATATCTACTGCTTAGAGCCATTATAAGGATTAAATGAGCTGATATGTTATGTGAGATGCACAGGGTCTGGCACATAGTAATGCCAAAACAAATCTTAACTATTATTACAGAAATAATTCAGTGCATATATTTCCTGATAATGCCAGGAATATATATATACACACACATATACACATACATACATATATATATACCTACATACATATATATAAACATGTAATTAACATAAGGAGAAAGGAAAGTTTTATAGATAAAACATATGAACAAATACTGTTTAAAAAACGTTGAGATTCTAATTAAATATTTAAACAACTGATATGTGTAAAAACTATTTATCTGTATTTATGGTGACCTCTGTACTTCCTAGACTGAGAGTTCCAACTAAGACTATGTTATATTATACTATATTTCCCTTTATCTTAAAAGCTAATATTTAAAAAAACTTTTGAACCAAATTACAAATTTTAATAAATGTGGCCATAACTCTTAGAAGAAGTTGACTGATTATTGACAAATGATGATATAAATGAGAGGGTATCCAAATTCTCTAATATTTAAAATACTTAATAAATAAAGAGATTCTACAATTCAATAACAAAAAGAATAATAACCCAATAGAAAAGTGGGCAAAGGATGTGAAAGGACATTTTATAGGAAAGGAAATATAAATGTCTTTTCAAGGTGTGAGAGTAAGTTTCTACCCCCCCCCACCTGCTTGCTGAGCAGACTTTACCCCCTGCTTTAGTTACTGTGTCACAGTTAATCACCACTCGACAAAACGTATATACTTGTTTGTTTGTTTGTTTACTGTTTATGTGTTCTTCCTAAAATGGAGGCTCCATGAGAACAGGGACTTTGATTGCTGGTCTATCCCCGGTGCCTAGAACAGTGTCTGGCACATAATAGGTACTCGGTAAATATTTGTTGAGTGAATGAATGAATCTTACTCAAAATGCAAGAAATGTGAGTTAAAACTACAAGATACTTTTTTTTTTCAACCTAAGAGATTGGCAAAAATAAAAGAAAAATTGATAACACACTATATGGGTAAACAGGCACTTCCATGCATTGCTGGTAGCAGTGTGAATTGTTTCAACATCCATGGAGGGAATTTTATCAATATTAACCAAAATTACAAATGCACCTATCTTTTGACTCAACAGCAGTAGTTTTACATATTTTACATATATGAAAAGAACTTTTTACAAAGTTGTTTATTACAATGCTTGTAATGGCAAAAGAAAGAAAAGGAAAAAGAAAAAGAAAGCCTAAATTTCCTTCTGTAGGGGATTGGTTAAATTATAGTTCATCTATGTAAAGAGAGAGTACAATGCAGTCATAAGAAAGCATGAGGACACTCTTTATGTACCAACATGGAACACTATCCAGGATAGTATTGTTCACTGAAGAAAGAAATGCGTGGAACAGGGTATGGCATGCCACCATTTCTGTTAAAAGAGAGGGGTAAATAAGAATATGTACATATATGCTTGTATGGAAATAATATATTTTTGGAAGGATACTCGAGATACCCTTGATTGCCTTTGGCCAGCTGATATCAGGGGTGGGAGGGAGAGTTTTAATTATATGTATATCCTTTTTTGACCTTTTTTAAAAAATTGAGATATAATTCACATATTAGTTTCAAGTATACCACATAATGATTTGACATATGTATATATTGTGAAATGGCCACCACGATAAGTCTGGTTAACATCCATCACCTCACACAGTTACAGATTTTTTTTCCTTGTGGTGAGAACTTTTTGGATCTACTCTCTTAGTAACATTTTTGACCTTTTGAACATTGAATCCCATGAATTTATTATCTTTAAAATTTTTCCAAGAAGTGTAGGAATCATTTACCAAGTCCAAATAAAATGTAATTAAAGCATTTCTGAAGCAATGCTCAAAAAATTAAAAGTTAGCTTCTGCTTTCTAAATGGGTTTTTAAACCACCCTGTGCTCTACTCTGTTTGTATCAGCATCCCATTGGAGGGGCGAAGTAGCATCGTGGTTCAAGAGCATGGGCTGTGGATCAACCCAGCCAAAGTCAAACCACAACTTTGCCGTTATTTAACAAATTTCTTAAGCTCTCTGGGACTCAGTTTCCTCATCTAAACGGTGGGTATAAAATAGAACCTGTCACATAGGATTGTAAAGATGAAATGAACTAATTCATCTAAAGCATAGTGCCTGGCACAAAGAACTCAATTATTGTTAGATGTTGTTATTCATTTCTACAATATATTAAAAAAATCTCATTAAGTAACTGACCCACGAGTATTATTCAGGGACTTGTTACTTTAGTGTTAATTACGGTTATCCTGTTTGGGTTTTTCAGATACCCCAGATGTCAACATATATTATACCCTGGATGGCAGCAAACCTGAATTTCTGAAGAGAATTGGTTATGGTGAAAATAATACATTTAAGTATACGAAGCCTATTACTCTGCCTGATGGAAAAATACAAGTGAAAGCTATTGCGGTCGCTAAGTAAGTTAAGAGCATGGTGATTAAAACAATTTATAATGACATTATGCTTTCATTTTATTTATTTCTTCCTTTGAGAATCAGTGCTGGATTAGAAGGGCACTAAAGAAAAAATTATTTTAATTTCATTGTGTATCTGTAACTTTTGTGTTTTATTTGTCTTCTATTGAGGTGTAGTATAAAGTGCACAAATCATAAGAGTACAGATCAATGAGGTGCTATATATATTAATACTATTTTTATTTTGATTTTCACGTTGGGATTTTGGGAAGAGCCTTTTTGAGGTTTGGGACCTCTGAAGAGATTCATCTGGCTCTGAAGAAAACATTGTTTTCAGTGGATTGTTCTTTTATTACCCAGGACACGGCCTGTAACCATCACTATCATTCTGTTTTATATCATGTTGACTTATTTGGCCTTCATAGCTCCTGTCATTTCCATTTGTTGGACATTAGCTACTTTATTCCTTTCTTTCTCCTTTCTTTCCTGCTCAATGACTGTTTCCACTTTTCAAATATAGAAACACCACTTAATTTGGAAACTTTCACCTTCTGTAGTATAGAAAAAAACTCAAATGCTTTACAAGTCTGTGTGTCTGCGATAGAGGAATTATTTTGTGCAGCAAGACAGGTTAGGCCACGTTTTTGGAACACTTTTAAGCCCTAGACCAATCCCTGGCTGGCCCAGGCACTTTAAATGCAGACTCCCAAGGCTCCCCTCACAGCTGAGCTGCTGCGTGGCTTTTGAGGAGAGCTACAAATTCTACACCACACACGATAGCTTTGGCATTTGAAAATTTAAAAAAAAAAGAATGAAAGATGAAACAGAACAATCCCGTCATACACATTATTATTCCTTAGTAAATATTGGAATTTGTGGCTTTTTCCCACTTGCCAAACCACTCCTATCAAAACCAGTCATCTTAATTATCATTAAAAATTAACATGCTGAATAGTCTGGTGCCTAGCCCTGTAAGGCAGGCCCCTTGATAAGCTACAAGTGGTAGTAAAATGAAATAGTAGTTAATGACTAAACTACACAATTTAGGGCCAGCCCCGTGGCCGAGTGGTTAAGTTTGTGTTCTCCGCTGCGGCAGCCCACGGGTTCGCAGGTTCGGATCCTGGTCACGGACATGGCACTGCTCATTAAGCCATACTAAGGCAGTGTCCCACATGTCACAACTAGAAGGACCCACAACAAAGAATGTGCAGCTATGTACTGGAGGGCTTTGGGGAGAAAAAGGAAATAAATAAAATCTTAAAAAAAGATTTAAACTATATAGTTTAGAGGAGTTAATAAAGCTTCCAAAAGAGTGTAAAAAATGAGGTCATTCTTTACACCTCTCACCATCTTGCTCTGTGCCCACTATGTGTCCATACTGGAAGCACTGTTAGTATTTCAGGTGTGCTCAGCTTAGGGAAAGTATTTATATAAAGTTTTTTTTTGAGTTTTCAAGCCAGAAAAATTAATGCTTGTATACATTTGGGATAAAATAGTTCTTTATGGAAATTATACTGCTTTATTCAAGTCTGTTTCTAGATACTTAAGGTACTTTAGTTTCTTAACAAGGAGAAAAAAAGATTTTAAATGAGACTGTCAACAATTAAAGGCCATTAACATATTAAGAGGAAAAATTATCGTCGCGAAGTTTTGAATGACATAGGAAAATATCTATGCTAAAATAAGTGAAAAAAATGTGGATATAAGATTACATCATATTATTTTGACACTATTTAAAAATGCACAGGGACAAACTAGAGAAGGCTATGACCAGAGCTGACAAGGTGGAGCTCCTGATGCTGGTGAAGAGTGAGTGGCGCGCAAGGCGACCTCTGTGCACAGGGCCAACAGTCTCCCCCTTCTCTGAGCCAGACTGTCAGGGACGCTGTGGATGTCTTTGGAAGGGATCAGGTTGAGCGGCAGCTCCAGTCCCTTTCTGTCCCACCTCAGTTTGCAAAACTCGTTGACATATTGTTATTCTCTATTGTAAGCTTTCTCTTTAGTTTACTTCCGATGATCAAATGTAAGTCATTTGAAAACAAAATTTAAAAAATCCAAACCTTAACAGTCATTGCCTCTGGTGATATAGTGATGTTTCTGTTCCCTTGACAATTTTTATAGCTTCCAAAATTTGACATGAGCATTACTCTTGTAATGAATAAACATAAATAATAAGTAAAGGGTCTCCAAAATTATTATGTAACCATAATAATTCTCGATCTTGGCTGCTGAATCAGTTAGCTGTTGCTGCATAACAAACCACTCTGAAACTTAGTACCTTAAAAGAACAATCATTCTATTTGCTCATTTTGTGTGGGTCAGCATTTTCATGTGCAGTCAGTGGGGCAGTTCTGCTGATCTTGCCTGAGGTCGCTAATGTGGCTGCAGTCATATTTTGGCTCACTTTGACCTGGATAGTCTGAGAAAGCTTGACTCATGTTTCCAGTGGTTGGTGCTAGCTCTTGGCTGAGTCTCCAGCAGGGTACTCTGAGTTGTTTCACATTGTGTCTCAGTCCGAAAAGCAGTAAGAAAGGTCAAGCCCCAAAACTCAGATGTTTTCCTAGTCTCTGCTTGTGTCATATTTGTTAATGTTTCATTGGCCAAAGCAAGCCACATGGCAACACCCAAAGTCAATGTGTGAGGGGATTCTACAAGGGCACTGGGGCACAAGGGCGTGGATACAGGGAGGCACGATGCACCAAGGACCGCTATTGTAACGATCTACCACAGGTGCGCATTACAATCACCCAGGAAGCTTTGCAGAATCTCCATACCTAGGCCATAGGCCAGACCAACTAAGTAATAATCTTATGGGGTGGGACTCAGATGTCGGTATTTTTAAAGTTTCCGGGTGACTCCAGTAGGCAGCCAAGGGTGACAACTGACATAAACTAAGGGACAAAAAAAGTTTCCATTTAAAGAAATTTGACCAACACAAGTTTTTGGAAATATATTTTTATTAAAATGTGATATTCTAGAATGAAAGGAAAGAAATAAGGGCATTGTCCTGTATGTGCTTTCATGTGCCCATATATATGTCCGTGACTTTCACATCAGAGAATGTCAGTAAAGAACACAGGTGGACAAAGGGGCCAGGAACTTGGGAACATCCCAGCAGGAGGAGGGGGTTTTCAGGTTTTGATGGTGCGTACTGATGGTCTAGTGCAGCGTCTGTAAACTTTCTGACATCTGCCTTGCCTCTTTAAAAGCCTCCTTTGTGGTGAGGAACTTCCTGTCTCCAATGTCATTTTGTAGTGTTTTGACAGTGAACTTACATGGTTCTCTCTTCGTTGTCAGTGACCTTAGATGGTTGTTGTCAAGACAAATCAAGCCAGGCTGAGGTAAAAGCTGCCTTGAACTGAAGGTAGGAGGGTGGGGGAGTCAGGGTCCTCAGAAAAATCATTTTTCTGTAGCAGAACCATGAGGTACTCCCCAGTTTTGCAACAATGGTTGATAAAGCAAATTTTTTGACAAGTCACCAGGGCATTTCATGGGCATCCATCTGCAGCTGTTTGGAGTATATAACATGCCCTAAAAAAATTGTGTTTGTGTGGAGGAAGGATCCAGCTGTCATCTCCATAGGCGGCAACAAAAGCAAGGAAATCAGTGCTTTGAGAGCAGTAGCTTGGAGTGTGGGAAAGAGGATGGAGTTGACCTGCAAATCTGGATTTTAATCCCAGTTCTATCGTTTACTCTTTGTGTGACCTTGAATAAGTTTCATGGTCTTCTGATTCTCAGTTTCCTCATTTGTTAAATGAGGTTAATAGAACTTACTTGGCAGCCATTGTGAAGATCAGAGGTAATACACTTAGTATATACTTGGTATGGAACATGTAGTAGCTGTTATTATTGTTAAGTTTCGTTACTCAAATTTTTAACGAAGGGATAAAAGATTGCTGTTGTGAGACTCGACTCAAAAGTCATGCCTCATATTTGAAAAGTTTATGCCTGGATGTATAAGTGGTTTCCACTCAACCCCTTCATGTTCCTAAGCCAGAGGTTTTTCAACTGGGCATAATTTTGCCCTCAAGGGAACATTTAATAATACGTGGAAGCATTTTTCTTTTCCACAACTGGAAGTGGGAGTGTACTAGTGCATCTGGTGGGTAGATGCCAATGATGTTGCTAAATATTTTACAATGCACAGGACAGCCCCTCACAACAGAGAATTATCTAGCCCAAAATTACAGTAGTTTTCGGTAGGTTGAGAAAACCTGATCTAGACCAAGTTGCAGAATTCTTACAGATCCAGCTTCATAACTGCCTTGCAATCATTCTAGTAATTTTGGTGCTTTATTGAGGGGACAGTAATCTTTGTGGGGGTAGAGCTCTATGCAATTTTTTAATTTTGGGTGCACATTATATTGGTATGCCTAAAGATACACATTTAAGGTCTCTAATTCCAACCCTAGCAAAATTTATGTGTGTTCAAATGAGATTTGGGCTCTGAATAGGGTTTCTAACTCCAACCCCAAACTGAATCCTTTTTTGGGATTAGAATCAGGAAATCCTTCAATTTAGCAGGCAATTTAAGTTAGTTTCTGGCTTCTCTCAGGGAAAATAAGGTCCATGGGTGAAAACCTTTGCTGAGTCTCTAAGGAAAGGGCCACCTGTGGTGGGGAGACAACATGGAGCTTAAAGGGGTCGAACAAGTGCATGAGAACCAGGCTTCTATTCAGTGTGATGGTGGGGCTGTAAGTGCACATTCAGGGAGCCCCACGATTATCTAGGATTTGAGTGATTCCTGGAGGGAGATGTTTGTGATGTCCAGGAAGTGCGCTAACAAGGACGATTGAATCTTGGATGACAGACCTGGGACCAGAGATGAACATGCAGATGAGATGGATGTTGAGGTGAATGAGTTAAGTAAGTGGTTCATCTAAAAGGTCATTTCTATCTGCATCCAGATATATGTATCTGTAAATCTGGTTTTATTGTTAAGAACAAAACAAAACATGGGCTTCCCTAAAGTTTAGCCACCCATTAGTCACTCCAGCCAGTGAACATACAAGTATCCACTGATCACAGAAAGGCAAGCGTGTCGTTTCTTAAATATTGTCACTTACTAAATAGGTAGTGGCTTTTTACATGAATTATGTATTTCTGAGAAATTTTTTTCTCCTTCTAAAAATGTAGCTTAAAATTTCTATATTTAATGTAGAACATTTCTCAACTGTTTTGGAACTGATGTTTATGCATTTCTGAATATTTACCTAATCAAAGAATTTTAATCATTTTGGGACACTTATTTACTTAAAGCTTCAAAAATTTTAAGAAATATAAAAAACTGGCATGTAAAAATTTGACAAATTGCAAAAGAAATGCTAATGAAACAGATAAATGTGTCAAAGAATATGAAAATCATTTTGAAAATCAGTAAGAGCAAAGTGGACAAAGAACACCAAAGAAAGAAGACAACTGGAAATGCTAAAAGTATTAAGTGCCTGGACAGATCAAACAGAATCACTTGTGTTCTAGCTGTGAGATTTCAACACAAATTAGTTGGGGTGAGAGTTAAATATATCAAACAAATGTTCCAAGCATGGTCATGACGGTGTGGCAGAGGCTGCTGGCTGTCCCCCAATACATGTGTTTCCCTTTTTCTAGAATAATAAAGCCCACGATTTTTAGCTAGACACAGGGTTGCCTAGAAGACAGACATTTCCCCCTCCTCCTTACAGCTAGTGAGAGCCATGCCGCAGGTGTGACCACTGGGATGCATGTGGGAGTGACATGTGCCACTTCTGGATTGGGCCCTTGAAGGGATGCAGTGGGCCCTGCTTCCCACTGCCTGGAATGATCAGCAGCCACGTTGCATCATGAGGAGAAGTACAATGTCCTAGGAACGGTGGAACAACCAGGTAGAAACTTGGCACCACACTCCCATCACCATGGCACCTCTGTACGACGACTGATTATACCCTGTGGCTTCTCTCTGGTGCAAGCCACTATTGTTTTGGTTCTGTGTTAAAACAGCCAAGCCAAATCCTAATATGCTGGGGACACATCTCAAGCAACTACCTACAGAGAACATGATCAAGAGTCAGGTGATCAAAATAGGCCAACAATATCAAGTGTTGACGAGTATGTGGAGAACCTGCAACCCTTAGATAATGTTGGTGGGAATGTAAAATGGAACAAAGATAGTTTAGTAGTTTCTAAAAAGTTAAGCATACCACATAACCTAGCAATTCCACTCCTGTGTATCTATCCAAGAGAAATAAAACACGTCCACATGACGACTGTTGTGTGTGGGTCTCAGACTATTGATAACCAGTGTTGTGTCTGGACCAGCCCATGTGATTCTTAATTATAATTGCAAGACGCCATCAGCAATCACCATCAGGAAACTTTGAAAGAAACAAGATTTGTTGTTTATGAGTCCTGATAATTACATGGCATACCACATAGCGGAGTCGCAGGTAGAGTGCACGAGACTAGGGCTCTGCTTTTATTGGGGTCGAGGGTGGGGGCCTAGGGTTTCACAGGCTCAGTCTTTATTGGTGAATTTAAAACATGAGAGGGGGAATTTAAAGCACAGGAGTAGAAGAAACAGGCAGCCTAAAAGGTCGGTTATTGAAACCAAACGAGATCGCTAAAACAAAGGCGCCTAGGGGTAGGGGGCGGGGTGGGGGAGAGTGATCTGGCTCTTTATCTAGTTATGTGGCTGACAATGTTTATTTGAGATAGCCATCTCTGAAATGGATGCCTCTTTGAAGTGGATGCCTCAGCAATCAAAACTTAAGTCATGCACTTGTGTTACAAAAAAGAGAAAACTCAACTGTCAGGGCTTACACTACAAAGACTGATATGTGAATGCTCATAGCAGCATTGTTCATAATCCCAAAAACTGGGAAAAATCCACATGACCATCAAATGGCGAGTGGATAAACAAACTGTGATACATCCATAAACTGGAATACTATAATATTATACTGTGCTACCTACAGCTGGAGTAAGGAAAATTCCCTTGCCTCATATGGAATAATATATAGGTAACCCCATTCTTTGTTTTAGAATAGTCTAAATCTTAAGGTATGAAATAGCTATGGTGAATATGGTAGATAGTCTCCAAAAATGGCCCCCCAGTGGAGCATGCCTTCCAGTGTAGCCCCTCTGCTTGAATCTGGGCTGGCCCTATGACTTACTTTTGACCAATAGTATGCTTCAGAAATGATGCTAAGACTAGATCACAAGAAGTGTGATCATAAACACTGGGGGAAGCCAGGCACCATGTAGGAAGTTCAGCTTTCTTGAGACTTCCATACTGTGAGGAATCCCAAGCTAACCACATGGAGAGGGAGGGAGACAGGAAGAGAGACAGACGAAGGGAGAGGGAGGAAGGGAGAGAGAAAGACAGATAGGTAGACAGACTGAGAGAGATGACTGGCGAGGCACCAGCTATTCCAGATATGCCAGCCTAGCTTCTGAATATGAGGGAAGAAACCATTTTGGACATCCAACCGAGTTCATCTTTCAGTTGACTCCAGCCCTAGCCGACGTCTGACTGCAACCACGTGAAAGATCACAGAGGAGAGCTGCCCAGCTGAGCCTGGTTAACCTATAGATTTGTGTTTTAAGACACTGTGTTTTGAAATGGTTTGTTACATAGAAATAGATAAATGAGAATAAGGCAAGGAAAAACTACAGAAGTTGTATTTTGATTTCTCCCATTTAAAATATAATAAATTTAGTAGCTAGACTAGGGGACTTCAATAGAGTCATCTTAATTGCTAGCCACCTTTTTTCGAATCTTTGTGTAACACACAGACTTTTTCTTTTTAAAATAATTTTCAGCGACTGCAGACAGAGTGGCATTGTAACAAAAGTATTTCAGGTGGACTGTGAACCACCAAATACAGTCTCTTTGGAAGACAGCGTTGAAAATGTTCTCAAAGATTCTTCAAAGCAGGCAAGTAATGAAACTGGAATACATTCAGAGGATCACACCACCTTCTTAGTTCTTTCTCGGTGGTCACATCTTCCCTTTTGTTTCATCACCTCCGTCAGTCTACCCACAGTCGTGTCCTCATAATTGAGATCAGTATCAACCATTGCAAATTATTTTCACTGATTTCCCATCCTTCAGTCAGTCCCTCCTCCACCCTGCCCATTAGAAATTCCTACCTACCATCCCTGCCCGTACTCTGGTGTCTTCATTGACTCCCCCTTACTTATTGAAGAAACCAGAAATCTTTAGCCTGGCATCCCAAGTGCTGAGTTTCTGTCCTCAGTCGTCTTCTCATGCTCTGTGAGTCCCCTGTAGAGACTCCAGCCAAACTAAACTGTGTTGGCTGTGTTCCGTCACTGGTCCCTTAGCACCCGCGCCTTCTCCCTTTATAAAATGCTTTGAATATGTGATTACTTTGCTCCTTGTCTCTCTCCTTTATGCACTGTAAGCTCCTAGGTGGCAGAGAGTGTGTCTGCCATACTTGATGCCTTGCACAGCGACAGGTAGGAGAGGGCGGTGAGTGTATGTTCGTGGAATAGATGCAGCAGACTAGTAGAAGCCCTCAGTGGGCATAGCCTTCTTTTATGTTGAAATCTTCATCCCCAAATAGCTGCAAAGCCTCCCTTCTTTGGAGAATGAACTAGACCTATCGAAAAAGGATGTTTGCAACTTCAGTCCCTGGGTTATGGGCATTAGTGAGATAGATGCAAGGGCCAGAGGATGGGCCAGCCCGTGGTAAGGAAACCAACCAAAAACTCAGTCATAGAGGTCTTGTTGGGGGTGACAGCGGAAGTTTTTTTGGGAGTCCATTCAGCCCAGTGGTAGACCAGAGGCCACAGGAGAGGCTCTGGGACTAAAGCAGTGGGTGCAGGCATAGTGTGGGGCTCAAGGATGCTCAGCGCAGGGATCGACACTGGGCAGGGGCAGCCAGCAGGGGCTGAGCCTACATGTATCAGCAGGTCCTCAGGCTTGAGTCAGGCATAAGGGACTGAGTCCAGAGAGAAGAGAGTTTAAGGATTGTGTGTTGGCAATTCGGGTACATAAGTCCTATGTTGGTCTGACTCCACCCTTTCTTTGCTCCCTGGATCTGATGGTCCTTCTATTATTACTCAGACTCCTGTGATTGCAACCTCCTGCCTACATGTGCTGCCTCCTGCCTCTGGTCTTGGCTGCTTGACCTGGTAGGGTTTACCAAGCAGACATGCTGGCAACTAAACAGGCCAGACACAAAGCTGTGTGTTTCCAGAGTCAGGTGAGACAGAGGTCACTTTGTAAAAACAACTGCAAACCCTTTCAAGTAAGAAATGCATGCTGTGACACTGTCTCTACCACGTAACTTTCAATTTTCATCTTTGAAATGGGCGTAATCAAGTGATTCGCATGCAATCTCTTCATCCCTAGGAATTGAAAAATGGATTTGTTGGATCAAAACTAAGGAAGAAATATAAGAATGCTGAAAATAAACTGGGTTGGAATGTTAACCTGAGAAAATTTCCAGGTATGATGTGACAGAATGAAGATAAGATTTAGTATTCTAAACCACCAAACAGGTTCACTGCTTCTTTTCTTGTCTGCAGAAGGGTTGGAATAAGAAACACTGGAACAAGAAAGTAAGCTATAATTTGAGTTTTAGGGCTATCTTAGCTAACAGCTTACGACCACGAGGGATAATCAAGCAGTCCAACAAAGTCAGATTTATTGACACATTGCCACGACGGAGAGCGCACACCGGAGGAACCATGGGTCCTCTCACCAAACAAAGGAAAAAATACAGTTATAGGGTTTGGGGGAAGGTGGAGTTTGGGTGAAATTTAAATGAAGGCAGAATTTTGATAGGCTGAAAGCAAAGCAGAGCTGTGTGTGAAGTGGTCGCCATCAGGTATGGAGTGCAAAGGAGACCAGGGTTCTGTTACCTTGGAAACTATAAAGATAAATGTGGAATGTTGTGCTCAGTAACCTTTCTCTGAAGCTCTGGATGAAGACTGGAAATTGAGGCTGCTTCTCTATGTCAAAGTGACATAGGTCCTCCAGGCAATTGTTGGATGGCTCGTTCTTACTGATATGATTTCAAACAGCAAGGTGTCTGATAATCTGATTTTAGAGAACAAAGTTTCTTGGCAAGTAAGAAACAATAGTCATGTAAAGGGGGGGCTGTTATGACATTTTACAACTGCAGTGTGTCCTGGCAAGAAAGTGTTTTCTGCTAACCTTGCAAAGGATTTATCTGTCTTCCCAGCCTGATGTGGAATGTTGTGGAATGTAGTAGGGCAGATTTAAATTTTCTTAGTTTGGGCTAATTTTTTTCTTTCTCAGTGCTAATTCAAGGAGTCGGGGATTCTTTATATTATTAATACTTTAGGGAAAGAATGGGATGGCAATGTCCCTTATTAAAAGGTTTCCAACTATGAAGACGTTTGCATGATTATATGTATAATTACTGATGTTCACAGAACAATGTTTTTAATATAATTGTAGACCTCAACGGAGGTGAAAAAACTGACCCTAAAGCTTGGAAAGACCTTCGCTTCTCAGAGAGTCCACTGGAAACCCCAGCTTACCGTGAAGAATCAGGTTCTAGCCCACACTTCCACCACTCCCAGGTAACTTCTAAGGAAACTCTTTAGGGTACTAAATACCTACTGTTATTTGTAATGCTTCCCATGAAATATTTCAAGGAAGTGTCCCCTGCATTTTCACCCTGTGCCAGGCACTGTTCCAGTGCTGGGAATACTGTGTTGGACAAGAAAGGCCCCAGTGCTCATGGAGCTCACCTTTTATTGGGGGTAGGAGCTGGCAGTAATAAATATGTAAATAATCAAACAAAAAATTTAAAATAGTGATGTGTCATTAAAAAGATTAAACTAGGTAATAAGATAGAGCAGTACTTCTCAAACTGTGGTCCCCAAACCAGTAGCATCAGCAACACATGGGAGCTTATTAGAAATGCAAATCCTCAGGCCCTACCCCAGACCTACTGAATTAGGGACTCTAGGGGTGGGCCCAATGATCTGTTTTAATTGGTCCTTCTGATGCACACTCAAATTTGAGACCCCCCTGGGATGGAGAATGACCATGGAGGAAGAACAATGTTCGAATTCAGGGTGAGAAGAGAGGGCTTCCTTGGAAAGGTGACATTTGAATTGAACCTTCAAGATGAGCGTAAGTGAGCCCTGCAAAGATCTTGGCAGCAGTGACAACACGTAGTGCAAAGTGAGGGATCAGCAAGGAGGCTGGTATGGATGGAGCGTGGTGAGCAAGGTCAGAGGTGAGGTGGGAGAGGTAGGCTGGGGCAGAGCACAGAGAGCCGTGGTTCTCAAACATGGCTGCACGTTGGAATCACCTGAGGGGCTTCAAAACAATCCTGGGACCCCCCAACCTCAGAAATTTTGGTTTAATTGGTGTGGGTTTTAGGAATGGTTTTATTCTACGTTTTTAATTCACCCATCAGTGATTCTAATGGGCAGGCATGTTTGGGAATCACAGATGCTGGGGTAAGTCCCATTGTAAGGAGTTTGGATTTTCTCCTAATTGTAAAGGGAATCCATTTGGAGAGTAAGACATGATCTCATTTACTTAAAAGATTTCTGTTTGCCTACAGTATGGAGATTAGGCTATAGAGGAGTAAAAGGGAACTATCATTTAGGAGGCTTAAGTGGTGAGGATAGGAGGGTGGTGGGAATCCAGATATGTTTTGTAGGTTGAGCCAACAGATTTGGCTGAGGGATCAGACGGATGGGGTGAGGAAAAGGGAGGAGCCAAGGATGACTCTCAGGGTCCTGGCCTGAGCATCTGGAGATGATGGTACCATTAATTGAAATGGGGAAGACCAGGGAGGAACAAGTCTTCAGGGCTCATTAGACATTCAAGTGAAAGTGCTAAGTAGACTGTTGGACGTGCAACTTCAAACTCAGGGGAGAGGTCAGGGCTGGGGATATATATTTAGCAATATTCAATAAATGGATGATATGTAAAGCTTAGGTCTGAATGAGATCACTTGCCAGGGTTGTAAAGAAAATGAAGAGAAGAAGGCACAAGACAAAATCCTCAATTTAGAAGTTGGGCAGAGGAGGAAGAGCCTAAGAAGTAGGAAGAGAGCTAAAAAAAAAAAGTGGTGTCCCAGAAGCCAAGAGAAGAAAGAGTTTCAAGGAGAAGGCAGTGCTCATCTATGTCAAATTCATCTATGTCAGATTCAAATTAGACAAGGGCAGGGAGTTGCCTGTTGGATTTGACATATTGGAGGTGATTTACAACCTAAATAAAAGCTATATCAATGCATTCTTACTATATAACAAGAAAGATGCCCTTAGACTAGTTGCCTCCTCCTCCTACTATTACAGCACTTGGATTTTTGAATGTTTCTAAAATCCAGTTTAGAATTTGGCATCTAACGGCAACCCAGGAGCCTTTGCTGTCTTTCTGCAGTCTGAGCCCCAAGTAGAGCATACCTAGAAGCACAGTTTCTATGCAACCACAACTGCTTCTTGTGTACCCATGATTTCAAGGCTGCTCACACTTAGCATCAAGTGTAAAGGAGGTTAAAAGCTTAGTTCTCACACCTGGTTGCACATCAGAATCATCTGGGGAGAACTTTTTATATATATTTCCAGCTACCCCTTCCTGCGGTCCTCCTACATAATCTGAGTCCATAAGCCTGGATGGAGTCCATGGATGACTTTCATGATCAGCCCAGTCTGAGAATCACTGGCCTGAAAGACTGACTATCCTTATCTTGAAGTTAAGCCCTTTCCTTCATTTCCTGTCTCTAATGCTGTGGTGTAACTCAGTCTGACCTCCTGGGTTCTTCCATCTGCCCACCCACTATATTTTCTGGAGGACCACAAAGTGCAGCCCAGAGGACCACAGACCTAAAAAGGCCTACTTTCAAACCCCACTAAACAAAAGGACAACCATCCCTGCAATAGAATATTGCCCTTCACAGTCTCCTGGAAAGAATGATTACCAAAGAGACACATGAGCACACTCAGCTCCTGTGAGCAATGCTCACCAGTGTAGCCCAAATAAGAATACTGCTTTTGAGATAAAAAAGCATCATTTTGAAGAATGAGTGGTATATGACAAAATATAATCATAACTATTTTTGGAAAAAGTCTCATGTGACCTTAATTATCTGAATATATCTAGAAAGAATTATTTTCTTTGTGCATGGGTATGTGGATTACCTTGCCCACCTAGTTATTTAAGAGTTGTTTCCAAGGGAAAGACAGAATAAAAAAATCTGTAAAGATTCCAAGATTCAGCATCCCCAAAAACTGGGTGTGTGGGAAGCAGTTTGGGGAATTTGACAAGGAGGCCAGAAAAGGACCGCAAAAGTTTTATCTTCTACTTTTTTCCCTCACATTGGCAAGAGCGTCTTCTCAATATCCCAGCTCAATCCCATCTAAAGCATACTTCAGCAAACATCAGAATTGATGATGCTGGTGGATGTTACAGCATGTCAACAACCACCAGGGAGACAAGATATCTCTGAGCTAAGCATCTGGCCTAGGGGCACTGTCAGGGGCTAGGCAGCCGTGTAAATGTGTGATACTGCCTGGGTGGAAGATGAATGACAGCTGATACCTGGCTTTAGTGTCAGGGCAAGAGAGTTGGGGGTTCTCTGGCCACGTGGAAAGCCCTGCAAGCTAAAAAGGTCATCTCTACTCAGATAACCATTGATAAGAAGGCCTGTGGGCCCAGTGTTGCCACATCTGATGAATTTGCAAGAGAAGCCAGAAACCTGCATTTTTATGTGTTAAAACATAGTTTTAACTTTTAACAATTATTTAACAATTTGAAACATGGCGTGGGCCAATATACATAGGCCAAATGAAACTCAATGGCAGGCCAAATTTGGGCTGTAGACCACCACTTTGCAACTTCTGGTCTGGGCCATGTTGGATCTGACACAGAAGCCACTAAAAACCTCGGACTGATCCCCGTTGCCTGCAGCGTAGCGTCTGGAGTCTTAAGCTCAGCCCCCAGGCGTCGTGGTAGATGTGTCTACTGGGGTGGGACATGAGATAGTAGACCTACTGGTGACGTGACCTCAAGCAAGTGACTCAGACTTTCTGAGCCTCAGCATCCTCTTCTGAAAAGTGAGGATTACGTTACCTCTTGATATGATGCACTGAAATGGACACAGTATCATTTCTCTGGTCTTTGTGCCAAAATGCATGACTGAATCCATTCATGAGGAAACATCAGACAAAACCAAATTGGAGGGGATTCTACAAGTTAACTGACCTGCTACCGTTCAAAAATGTCAAGATCATGAAAGATAAAGACAGACTGAGGAAGTATTACAGATTAAAGGAGAAACTAACTGCGAAGTGTGATACTGGACTGGATCCTAGACCAGGAAAAAAATATAGCTGTGAAGGACGTCATTGGCATGATTAACAAAATTTGAATAAAGGTCTGTGGGTTAGACAGTAGTAGTGTATCACTGTTAATTTTCCTGGTTTTGAGAATTGCACTGTTGTGTAAGAGGGCATCCTTGTTCTTAGGAAATCACGTGCAAAATTTAGAGGCAGAAGGGCGTCATGACTGCAGCTTATTCTCATGTGATTCAGAAAGCGAGAACGAAAGCTCTTGGGACAAAATGTTAGTGTAAACAATTGGTCAAGCTGCATATACAGGGGTTATTTGTACCATCCATGCAACTTTTCTGTAAATTTGAAATTATGTCAAAAGAAAATGTTACAAAAATAAAATGAAACGGGAATAATATTACCCACCTCATAAGGTCATTGTGAAACGTCAAGGAGACAATGGCTGTCAAATACCAGGCACAATTGACTGCTATCAGACCCTCCATGTGTGTTAGCTTCTCCCCTTCATGTTCCTTCTCCACCCTTCCTTTCTGTTCTACTGTCCTGCCACTCAGACTGCTAGACCATATCAAACACCCAAGTCCCAGGATAGGCCATGCACTGCCCTGCTGTTGTGTCTTTGCAGATGGGTTTTCTCTCCTTGGAATGCCCTTTGTCCTTCTGTCCACTTGACAAACTTTTCTTTCCTTTCCCAAGCTCAGATGGGAGTAACATCAAACCCAGCTCAGATGTTACTGCCCTGGGAAGCCCTTCTCCCCTGGAGCAAGTGCCTGTGATTATGCCCTCTTCTGGGTTCCCATGGGACCCAGTGCAAATGTGTTACCACACCGAACCCACTGTGTTTCAGTATTGTGTATGTACACCAGTTCGTGGTCCCTTGAGGGCAGGGACCATGTGATATTTATCTTTGTCCCTCTCCCTGCATCAAACACAGTGCCTGGTACAAAGCAGCCATTCAAATAAAAATCTATCGAAGAGAGTTAAATGTTTCTGGATAAGCAGGCACTTGCTGTATTTGTTCTTTCAGGTGAATCCTTTTGAATTTCCTGGGGATATGATCTCTGAGAAAAATAGTTACTAACTTAGGTTTTTAAATTCTAAAATCTGGCCTGTCTAATGGTAAATTCAGATATCTTTTCTTAAAAACTCTTGTTTTTAATAGAATGTATGTATCAGATTATGACTAGCACTTTAATTTTTTTAATGTCCATGCGGAGTAATAATTACTTATGACTTTCCCCATCACAGTTTTTAAAGGATGAATTCTGGATAATAAAACAAAACATTAAAAGATGAATTCTGGGTAAGACAAAACATTAAGATGAACTTTTAATAAAATTTTACTGTACCGTAGCTTTTACCGTGATTTTATATATATTCTTAATTTTAGTTCCCTAGTTTTGCACACATAATCGGCCAGAAGAGTTTGACAAGCACAGAGATCATGCGAATTCAAAGGGAGACAGACTTTCTCAAGTAAGTATCACATTCTCTTTACTATTTCTTAAATTCTAAGACACATTGTGGTCAAAAAGACTTTAAGAATGGGATATAACAATGGTTTTGCCCAACCCCAGCTGTTTTTTATTAACTTTTGTACAGATTTTACAGGTATAATTGGCATACAGTAAACTGCACTTATTTAAAGAGTAGAATTGACATATGTCTACAACCTTGAAACTATCACCACATACAAGAAAATTAGCAAATCCATCACCTCCACTAATTTCCTACATGATCCCATTTTGAAATCCCTTCCTTCTGCGCCTCCCCATCTCCAGGCACCTGTTGATCTGCTTCTTGTCACTACAGCTTAGTTTGCATTTGATTCCATATATAAATAGAATAATTCAGTATGTACCCTTTTTTGCCTGGCTTCTTTCACTCCTCCTAATTATTTTGAGATTCATCCATATTGCATGTATCAAATGTTTATTTCCTTTTATTACTGAGTAGTATTCCATTGTACGGATGCATCACAATTTGTTTATCCAGTCACCCGTTGATGGCCGTCTGGGTTGTTTCCAGGTTTTGGCTATTACAGATAAAGCTGCTATGAACATTTGTTCACAGTGTGGTACACAACATTTGTACACAGTTGTCAGATACACATATACTTTTATTTCCCTTAGGTAAATACCCAGGAGGGTCATATGATTGGTGTATATTTAACTTTTTTAGGAAACTGCCAAACTGTTTTCCAAAGAAATTGTACTGTTTTATATTCCCAGCAGCAGTGTGTGATATGAGTAATGTGTGAGAGTTACAGTTCGTCCACGTCCTCACCAACACTTTTGTTTTTATTTTTGGCCATTCTAGTAAGATGGCAGGTGTGGCTTTAATTTGCATTTCCTTAGTGACTAAGATTCTGAGCATCTTTAAATGTGCTTGTTTGCCATCCACACATCTTCTTTGGGAAAATGTCCATTCAGACTTTTGCCCTTTTAAAAATTGGGCTCTGTATGTTATTATAGAGTTATAAATATTTTCTTTTGTTAGATATATGCTTGCAAATATTTTCTCCCAGTCTTTAGCTTTTTGTTTTCTTATCAAAGTGTTTCTTTGCTGAGCTAAAGTTTTTACTTTTTTTTTTTTTTTTAAAGATTTTATTTTTTCCTTTTTCTCCCCAAAGCCCCCGGGTACATAGTTGTATATTCATCGTTGTGGGTCCTTCTAGTTGTGGCATGTGGGACGCTGCCTCAGCATGGCTTGATGAGTGGTGCCATGTCCGCACCCAGGATTCGAACCAACGAAACACTGGGCCGCCTGCAGCGGAGCGCGCGAACTTAACCACTTGGCCACGGGGCCAGCCCCTAAAGTTTTTACTTTTGATGAAATCTAATGTATTTCTTTTTCTTTTATATTTCATGCTTACTTTGGCATATTTAAGAAATCTTTCCCAAATGCAAGACATATCCCATTCACTAAGATTTTTCTCTTATGTTTTCTTCTAGAAGTTTTCTCTCTTACATTTAAGTCTATAATTCATGTTTAGTCAGCTTGTCAACATCTACAAAATGTCTACTAGAGTTTTGATTTGGGTTGCATTGAATCTATATATTAATTTAGAGAAATTTGACCTATTAACAATATTGAGTCTTTATAGTCCAGGGAAATGATATATCTCATCATTTATTTAGATATTCCTTAATTTCTTTCAGCAATGTTGTGTGGTTTTCAGTGCACAGGTTTTACGTATCTTTTGTCAGATTTATCCCTAAGTATTTCATGTTTTTCTGATGCTGTCGTAAATGGCATGCTTTTAAAATTTAAATTTCTGATTATTTGTTGCTAGAATATAAAATACAGTTGATTTTTGTTTAGTGGTCTTATATTCAGGAAACTTACTGAACTCACTTATTCTTTTAGCTTTTTGGGTAGATTCCATAGAATTACCTATATAAGGTAGTCAGGTCACCTGCAAATAAAGACAGTTGTTTGACTTCCTCATTTCCTGTATGAATCCCTTTTCTTTCTTTTTCTTAACTTGTTGCATTGGCCAAAACTTCCAGTGAATTTGGAATATAAGTAGTGAGAGTAGACATCCTTGCCTTATTCCTGAACCTAGGGGGAAAGCCTTCCATTTCTCAGCATTAAATATGATATTGCTATAGGTTTTTCGTTGACCCTTCAGATTGAGGAAATTTTCCCCTATTTATAGTTTGCCGAAAGTTTGTTGTTGTTGTTGTTTTTTGATCAGGACTAGATGTTGGATTTTGTCCAAAGCATTTTTTCCATCTATTAAAATGACCATAGGCTTTTGCTTTTTCTGTTCATATGATGAGTTACAATGACTGATTTTCCAGTTTTGAATCAACCATGCATTTCTGAGATAAATACCACCTGAAATATTATCCATTTTATATAGTGTTTAATTTGATTTGCTAAAATGTAAAGAATTTTTTGTATGCATGTACATGAGGAATATTGGTCTGTAGTTTTCTTGTCTTCTGATGTCTTTGTCTGGTTTAGTATCAGGATAGTTCTGGCCTCATAAAATGAGTTGGGAAGTAGTCTCTTTTCTTCGGTTTTCTGAAAGAGTTTTTGTAGAATTGATACTATTTCTTTGTTATATGTTTGTTACAGTTCACCGCTGAAGGCACTGGGATCCAGAGTTTTCTTTTAAGGAAGATTTAAACTGCACATTCAATTTCTTTAATAGTTGTGTCTATTCAGATTTATCTATTTCCTTTTGAGTGAAACTTGAGTTTCACTTGTTCTTTTTATAATTTCTTTAATGTGCAAGATGAAGTCATTCATTTGAAGCCATTCTTCTTTTCTAATATTGCCATTTAGAACTCTAATATATAGGCATTTCCTCCTGACTACTGCTTTAGCTGCAGCCCCCAATTTTGATATGCTGTGTTTTGATGTGTTGTACTTTCTATTTAACTCAAACTGTTTCTGACCACCATTGTTATTTCTTTGTTGACCCATGGGTTATTTGGAAGTGTTTTGTTAAATTCCAAAATGTTTGGAGATTTTCTTTGTATATTCTGGCACTGATTTCAAATTTAATTCCTTTTTGGTCAGAGAACCTATATTGTGTGATCTGATTGATAAATGTTCCATGTGCTCTTGAAAAGAATGTGTATTTTCCTAGAGTGTTCCATAAATGTCAGTTAGGTTAAGTTGGTTGATAGTATTAAGTTTTCTCTATCTTTGCTGATATTCTGTCTATTGTTTAATCAATCCTTGAGAAAGTTATGTTGAAATCTATGACTATAGTTATGAGGTTGTCTCCTTGTCCTTGCATTTCTCTCAGTTTTTGCTTCATGGACTTTGAAACTCCTTTATTAAGTGTATAAACCTTTGGGAATCTTACGTCCTCTTCCTAACAACTCCTTTATCATTATAAAATAACCTTCTTTAACGCTGGTGATATTCTTTGCTCTAGAAATCTATTTCATCTAATATTAATGTAGCCACTCCTACTTTCTTTTGATGCGTTTACGTGGTATATCTTTTTTCACTCCTAACCTATTAATGTTTCTCTATTTAAAGTTGGCTTCCTTTCAACAGCATATAGTTGGGTCTTGCATTTTAAAAAATCTGGCAATCTCTGTATTTTAATTGGGGTGTTGAGAGTATTTATGTTTATTCTGGTTATTGATATGTTTGAATTTAAATCAAGCATCATGCTATTTGTTTTCTGTTTTGTCTCATCTATTTTTTGTTGCCCTTTTCTTTTTTCCTGCCTTCTTTTGGATTAATTTGGTATGTTTTATGATTCCATTTTATTTTGTATCCTTTGTTGGCTTATTAGCTATAACTTTTCTTTAGTGGTTGCTTTAGGGTCTATAGTATACGTTTTTAACTTATCACAGGCTATCTTCAAGTAATATTATACCACTTCATATATAGCGTAAGAACCTTATGAGAGTGTACTTCCAGAACTGCATAACAAGAGCCTTTTGCTGTTGTGATCATTCATTTTACTTCTACAAATATTATGAACCCCACAATACATTATACTTTTATTTGCTAAGATCAATTATTTTTTGAGGGCCTTTATACTTTGTGTGTGTGTGTGTGAGGACGATTTGCCCTGAGCTAACATCTGTTGCCAATCTTCTTCTTTTTGCTTGAGGAAGATTGTCGCTGAGCTAACATCTGTGACAACCTTCCTCTATTTTACATGGGATGCTGCCTCAGCATGGCTTCACAAGCAGTAGCAGGTCCACACCCAGGATCTGAACCTGTGAACTAGAGGCTGCCAGAGCAGAGCACATGAACCCAACCACTATCCCACCGAGTGGCCCCCCTTTACAATTTTATTGTGGCAAAATACACATAAATAAAATTTACCATTTTAACGAATTTTTTTTTTCTTTTTTTTTGGTGAGGAAGATTGGCTCTGAGCTAACATCTGTTGCCAATCTTTTTCTTTTTGCTTGAGGAAGATTATTGCTGAACTAACACCTGTGCCAGTCTTCTTCTATTTTGTGTGTGGAATGTCACCACAGCATAGCTTGATGACTGGTATGTAGGTCTGCACCTGGGATCCAAACCAGCGAACCCCAGGCTGCCAAAGCAGAGCATGCAAACTTAACCACTACCCACCAGGCTGGCCCCCCATTTTAACAATTTTTAAGTGTACAATTCAGTGGCGTTAAGTACATTCACACTGTTGTGCAGCCATCACCACTATCCATTTCCAGAACTTTTTCATCTTTCTAAATAGAACTCATTTCCCATTAAACAATACCTCCCCATTACCCAATCCCCCCAGCCCCTGGTAGCCTCTGTTCTCTCTTCTGTTCCTATGAATTTGAATATTCTAGTTGCCTCATGGAAATGGAATCAGACAATATTTGTCCTTTTGTGTCTGGCTTATTTCACTTAGCATAATGTTTTCAAGGTTCATCCATGTGGTAGCATGTATCAGAATTTCATCCCATATTAAAGATGAATAATATTCCATTATGTGTACCCCATATCTATGTAGTATCTAGACACATGCATGTATGTATGTG